GGGATACCAGTGTGGTCTCCCCCTGGAGCTTCCAGCAATGGTTATCCTTTTGGACAACAGGGAACAAAAACAAATTATCCAGGTGATTAGTGAAATATAAGTTCCAGCATGTTTCTCAGCAAGAGATCTGTGGCTCACAGGTAAGAGCGCTGCCTCGTGGTTTCAGAGGTTGCTGGTTCGATCCCAGTCAGATCTCCACGATACGAGTGAATGCTGTATGTGTGAAGGGGATGGGGACGCGTCGGGTCCCCCCCCGAACCCCGCCACGATGTCCAGCAGGGGTTATGCTTCTTGATACCAACAAAAAGAAAAATTTAGCAGACTCAAAATTTGGACCCGCCGTCCCTTCCCCAGCTAGTTAGGCTCCCATCATTTGCTTTTTAAAAGGGTGACCCTCCAAAAAGAAAATGATGGTAACCTACATGTTTAGTGCCACACAACAACATTCACACGTTACAAGTCTTACCCGTCCATCAGCAGAGGTCCATCATTACAGTCAATGTCTGTCCACACGTCCCACAGCTCTGCTTCTGATGACTGGACGCTCCAAACACGTCCTGTATTCTATAGAGGAAACACAAACATTACTACATATAGTATATCTAAAACATTTAAATTAAGTTAGCCTAAATAACCGTAAACTGACAACAAAAAAGTCTTAAAGCTGTGTGAAAAGTATATGAAAATGATTTCTTCTCAGTTTAAATGATGCTATTACTTGTTTTACAGGCTACAAAAGGACACGAACACTGAATAGGAAAAAATCATACTTTCCACCCTTCAGTGTGAGAGCTGACGCATATTGCTTAAAAATATAAATTGTAAAGAACTGCCCTAGTGAAGTTATAACTTTAAGATGAAACCTTCCTTCAAACAGCAGTAATCCTAAAAGACATGTTCCAGCACATGGATTGATCTCTGACAGTTTTCATTAGAAGAAAAGCACTGCAGCTCTACAAAACAATGAAGCAGCGGACACACACTTCACACACAGATTCTATTAACAAGCATCAATCAACTAGATTATCACACACAGTAAGACAACTAACAACAGCACAGAGTAAAACCACGATTCCTTATTATTCTACGTAATTACACATAAATCAGAGGACTAAAAACTAACTCCCCATTCAAAGAAAGCCAGACCTACAAAACATCAGAACAATATTAGAAATGCTATTGCAAAGTGTCTAGTCACTGCTCTTTACTTTATTGTTTCATGCTTGTAGTAATATTATTACATTTTAATTAAAATACCATTTTAAAGACAGTGTTTTACTCTCAGATTCCAGTCATAACAGGATGTAGAAGAAAAGCATGAATCAACAGGAGAACATCAGAGCTTCACACAAGACACAACTCCTGCTGACTCTCACGACTACAATATCAACCGAGTCCTTATTATTACACATTATAGTGTGACTATCAGAGGGCAATTCATTCAAATATTAAAAAAGTAACGCTACAACTAGCGATTGCTTTGCAATATAGTGCGTGCAAGTCATTTGACAAGAGAAATTGACTTCATGCTAAAAGTTACTTACAGTTGAGTCTTGCGACATACTCGGTTCCCGCATTTTACCCGTCTGTGTGTCGGTTTTATTTGCAATTGAGCTGTAATATGTGCTGTTAAAGTGACATTAAGAGCTGTCATCTTCTCATCTGCACGTGTTGTTGTGATTGTCATCAAGCGTCATGTTGTCAAGCAGCAGAAGTGTCAGACTGAAGGAGAAACACGCTTCTGCCGCCTAGTGGAGCGGAGAAAAACTGTCGGATTATAGTAGCGAGATCACTTTCGAGACTTTGGATCATGAAGCAGAAACAGAAACTTGTTTAAATCCCACAGATGCTGTGACCATCTTTTAAAAGCCTGAGCCTAAGTTACTTCATACCTATTTTTTTCCAGTCTATGCTTCATACACATGCTTTAGATACAAGCTCAGTGGCGCAGAAAATAATTGTTTGCCTCTGAAAGAGTTAGTCTGGTCTTTCGTGTTTAAGAATGTATTTTTAACAGAATAACAGAGAGGACAGAAGAAAAATCCCATTTACGTTCATTAGACTCGATTTGCAGTGGTGTAATACACACAAATACCCACAGGAGGGCGAAACAGTTTTATTTATTTTATTTTTATTTATTTTTTTACAGTCTATTTAGCTTATATATCAGTATGCATATTTCAATGTCCAACAGCTTTTCACACATGACGCTTGAAATAAATAAAAAATAGTTATATAAGAGTAGCTCTGGTTTTCTCATAATTGAATAATAAATCTAAAGAAATACTTTGTCCAGAAATAAACACAAAACAATCTTGCAGAGTAGTCAATGAGTTATCAATCAATGATGACCATCTTTTACCCAACTTAAACATACGTTAAGATAAACTTTAAATCTAAAACATCACCATTGCATCTCCGGCTCTGTGGATAGTTGTTTCCCTTTCAAGCTGGAAAATACTTGTTCAATCCCTGGCACATTTGCTAAAGTTATTCATCATTTAACACAAAGCTCAAAATCAAACCTGTTGAAAATGCTCATCGTCTCAGTGGCTCAGGAAATAAAGCGTTGCATTTCAATCACAGCATCCTAAGTTCAAATCCCACTATTGCTGACTTTCAATTGCTCTCATTAGACAAGGAGTCCTGAAAACCAGTTATCGTTGCAAAATCCATGATGGTTGAGTGGATAAACACATGCTCTCTGAGATCAAGGCTGTGATGAAGACACAGGTTCAAATCTCACTTTAACTGCTTTATTGGAAACTCTCAGGATAATAGTGAAATATAAGTTCCTTCACATGTTGAGACAAGAGAACTGTGGCTCACAGGTAAGAGTGCAGCCTCACGGGTTCAGAGGTTGCTGGTTCGAGTTCAGCCGGGTCTCTGTGATAGGAGTGTGTGTGTGAGTGGTGTGCCCAGGGGTGCGGCCAGGGATTTTGGGCCCCATGAAAAAATGCTGCACCCGTTCAATTAATAAAATCGATTTCTGGGGCCCCTAAAAGTGTGTGGGCCCTTAGAATCGTCCTAACTTTTCCCCCCTTAGCGGCGCCCCTGGGTGTGCCCAAAGGAGGGGGATACCAGTGTGGTCTGCTTCCGGCACAGTCACCAGCAGTGGTTATGCTTTTGGACACACAAGAACAAAAAATATTATTTATATAAAAAGATTCACTCCCAGTCCCTTACCCACCCGTTTAGGTTCCCATCATTTGTTTTTCAAAGGGGAGGCCCTTCAAAAACAAATTGAATGGGAACCTACATGTTTTGCACAGTAAAACACAATCACACATCATATACATTACCTGTCCATCAGCAGAAGTCCATCATTAAAGCCAATGTCTATCCACACCTCAGATCTCTGCTTCTGTGGACTGGGTGTAATGGTCCAAACACATTCCTTCTGTAAGGAAAGACATTAAAAAAAAAACATCACTCCATATTCTAACATCTAAAAAATGAGAATGTGAAAGTTGGTCTAAAGAACAGTTAATAGATGAAAATGGAATAATTATTTGAAAGCCTAAAGCTGTACGGTGTGGCAAATATATTGCTGAGTATATTATACTTCAGAAATGCTGTATCAATAACAACCTTTTAATTCAATTGAAATTAAAATGAGACTTTCCTTCACAATAAACACGAGTAATCCTAAAAGGCTGGTTTCCTGCACATGGTTTTAGCCCTGTTCTGTTCTGGACTATTATATGATGGTTTTATTAGAAGCAAAAGCACTGCAGCTCTACTAAAGCATGTAGCAGCAGAAACATCAGAGCTTCTCACTCCAACAGTCCAACTGACTATAATAACAAACATCATTCCAGTAGATTATTACCTACAGTAAGACTACAACAACAGCAATGACAAAAAACACCATTCCTTGTTATTATAAATGAAACGCTAACGCAACAACTACTTCGGATTTATTTGTTCTTCTGAAGGTCTGATGGAGTTCAGCAATAGAGCAGCATGTAAACAAAGCCTAATAACCTGACAGAACTTCTCATTTTACCAAAGAATCACTGGTTACTTACCAGTGATTAGCGTGACGCTCAATTACCGCATTTTATCGGACTGTGTGTCGGTTTATTTGCTAAATTATGTGCAGTTGTTTGATATTAATAACTGTCATCTGCACGTGATGTAGCGACTGTGATCAAGCGTCATTGTTGTCATGGATCTAAAGGAGTCGCTCTGGCAGTGAAAAACTGCACTTCAGTTTCTGACATTCTGCTATCGTGATTAATTATCTCTACAAATACTTGTATGCTTGGATCAGGGGTCACTCTAAGAGAAAAGTCAGGAACAGAGCCAGAAACAACAAAATTGTACAGTTTTTATGATTTTTTTTCATCCTATCACACACACACACACACTGACAATGAGATCTGTTACTCAAGGTAATGATTATTAACTCCATTTATAATTTATTAAAGACTCTTACATCAATTTGCCACATTCACTTACAGTGCAGTCTGTACAAATACAACTAATTAGTGTACATATAAAAAAAAATGTGGTAGTGCTATATTTGGCATGGATCATCATAGGTAGTTTCATTTACACAGCACCTTAATTTAGTACAAAACAATGAGAATATAAAAATCAAGAAATGATATGCAAGACAAACCCAGTAAAATAAACATGATGAACATAATGAGGTGCCATATATAACACTGTTTTGATGGAGAGCACACATTCTTACAGTGCTCCACAAGAACTTCAGAAAAGAAAAGTCTCAGAAAAGAGTGTGACAAATAACAAGATGAAACGAAGCGTTAAAAACCAGCACCATTTAATGAGTGACATGTCTAGTGTGGGTGACGACAAAGTCACCAAGGACACTTTGAATGTGTGTATTGTGCTATAGTGCTACATGGGGACAAAAAAGAGGTGACTCACTGCTTTCTCGAGAACATAGACGTCCTCCTGTTTAACACATGATGCCACAGAGATAAATAAATAACCAGTGGAGTTAACACATGAACTCTGAATGACAAGAGGGACCCTGCCTCAGAATCAGGGCGTACCTCACAACCTCATGAAGTGATCATATTTACATAAAAATTAAACATTTCCACAGTTAGACACAGTGAGTGACCATATAAATAAATATTGATCATTTCAAAATAGTATATAGCCTATGTTAGTTATGCAGACATTATACATAAAGTGTGCTTCAGTTATTGGAGAAGATGTCATTATTTCATTCCATTACCAAAGGAAGCCCACCATTCCATAATCACATATATATCTATATTTACAAGAATTCATTACAGAACAGGAACGGCAGACCCTCAGTGCTTTAAACATTTGTATGTCGATCGTAAGCCACAGTAATTGTGTCGGTTTAATAAGAAACAAAAGTCCTATGATCAGCACAGTGGGATCACTGGGCCTGTAGCAGACCTTCCCACTGAATAGGTTGGGAGAACACCTCCCTTTCAAGCCACATCTCGTAGCTGTAATGGAAGTCTTCGGGCAGGTCGACGCGCTGACCTAGAACGCTTTGGAGGCAATTGTCCACTGGCGTAAACTCGTTGTTCTGATTCTTATCGTAACGCCGCGTGTTGAATTTCTCTATGCTCTCGCGGAGTGCGCACTCCTCCGCCTGAAAGTCCCACGGCCGAGCGTCGATATCTGGGAGAAGAGAAGGAAATATAGAAGCATTTGAAAGCTATGACACACAGTATGTATTACATATGAGAACAGGTAATGTGGAACACTATCGCTGCAACTGAAATCGCATACTGTAGCAGTGTCCCAATTCAGAGGCTGCATCCTTCGAGTTCGAAATGCGCTGACTTTAAAGCCCACGCTTTGGAAGTACAGGAAAGTTGAACGAGTGTTGTTAAATGGGATGGTCTAGCCTACGAGGGACTGTTCTTGTCGCCTGTAACAGCTCGACAGTTGACGAGTGGCAGTAACGCTTGTACATTTGTCAATATATACCTTACATCATATTCAAGTAAAGCCGGGCTCAGGCTACAGGAGTTTTTAAATCTTAACCGATTGTGAAATCTGGTTGCATCACGCACATGAAGAGAATATTCACAGATTTTCTTCTTTCAAATCTCAAACCTACAGACACTACATGATTTGAAAATCGTGGCGCACCTCACACTACAAGACATTCATGCCAGATTTAGCACCTCACGGGGAAGCGGATGTAAACAAAATGGATACTGTGTCGCGGCAACTGGCTGTAGACATTATATGAGGAGACATTATAAAGGAAGTCGTGTTCTTGCCACATTTCGACCTGCCGTACTCCATCTCCGTTGTCCACCAGACCAGTACAGCTGCTTGTTGTCTCTGAATGTCGGGAGGAGTAAATCGGGCATAAATCGGCCTGAAACTCCTGTAGTCTGAGCCCGGTTTAAGTTCAAACCCTAAAAGGGTAATCCAGAATTTTCTCTAAAAAAAAAATGTAGTCCTCCTCAGAGCACAATGATTATTGGGATTGGCTAAGCTGAAAAGGATCCATCCGTTCTATCCTTCGTGGCCCGGGAAACGAAGGATACATTTATAGGCTGCATTTGAATTGGGACAGTCTTCGTCGAGCCGCTCAAACGCATTCGGCCTTTGAAGGATGCAGCCTCTGAATTGGGACACAGCTTGTATAGTAGGTACTTCATTTGGTTTGAAACTTACTTCGCACCCGTTAAAGCACGTTCTATATAGTTTGGATGACATTTGGACATACACTACATCCGCCATGTTGTCACTGTCATGTGACCTACAGTGTCAGTTGTTTTGCTTTTTTTTTTGCCTACTGTTTTTTAAATACTATGTATTCGGACATCCTACTCTGTTGGCGTACTGTTTTTCGCACCCTAAAGTTTAGGGAAGTATTTGAATTTTGAATACAGTGAATGACTCATGATTCACTATGATTTATGTTAAAGGACACATTTAAAACATTCTAAATTGGAATCTGATCAGTTTATTCAAAGTAACCTACGGTACACTTTCCATAGGGTCTTCCTCCCTTAAGTTAAGTGTCTTGCTCAATGGCCCTGCTCTGCTCCATGACCCAGAAGTAAAAACAGTCAAAACAGATTTTTACCATTCCCATACGCCCAGTCGTCATTGAGCCGGTGTCTGACTTTCTGGTAGATGGCGGACATGGTTTTCATGTTACTCTTTCTCCACTGGCGCCCCAGATACTTGGTCTGGATCTTGAGGAGTTTGAGAACATAGAGCTGCATCATGGCCTGTTTGACCTTGAGTGCCCTCTTCAGGATGGGAGCAGATTTGAACACCACAAGCATCTGTAAAGGAAAGACAACCAACAAAAACCAATGTAAATTGTACACAAAACCATTCATATGAATGCAACAATTTACAAAGAAATTCATTCACATTTTGTGAAGGAGGCATAGATATGTATTACAAAATTATATTTAATGCTCTAGAAATCTTTAAAATTAATATATTTTCTTTGTTTCACCATAGTTCTCGAGTGTTTCCACTTGGTGATTTTGTTTAGGATCCTCAGTAGGTTGATGCAGGAGAAGAGATTACGCCAGCAAAACTGATTACTGTCACCAGCTTCCTGTTTACACACACAGACACACATTCACCGTCTTAACAACATTCAAATTGACATCTTTATCTTTTCAGTCACCTATAAAATATTATCTGGAGTTTAAGTTAAAAAAAAAACTGACAAAATAAAAGCAGTGTTTTGTATAATTACCAGGCTTTCAGCTGTGAGTTCAGGCATTTCATGAACCACACAATGTGGGAAATCCAGGGCACAAATGCTGCCATCAGAAAACACAACATGTTTTTTAAAACAAATTACGGACACAGGAGTTGGTTTAAATGAGCACAGATCTAAATGTCTACCTGTTTTTGGCACTGATGTAAGACATAATGTTCTGGTTGAAGAATTTGAGGATGAGGGGGATGCAGTTGGCAAACACCAGGTGCTGAGCCACATAATCAAACTGTTCGGGATGTAAAAAAAAAACAAAAAACATTCAGTACATCATGTTCATAAATAATGTACTTCATAAAAATCTTCAGCATATGAACAACACTACATTTTAATATAAGGAGGAATGGCCATTTAAATCCAGTGTGTTACATAGATAGAGAGGAGTCAGTTTGGTCCATAATATCTATAATTAACTGCCAACATCTATAGTTCTCACATGAGCTTTCATTAGGCTTTCATTTGTAAGGCATTCATCTGAGAGTGCATTCTGAAGAGTGATTTGTCTCCTCCAGTTGTTAGCCATTTATCACGGCTTTAGATGTCAACGGGCAAACTCTATCAAAGAGCTACCCAGAATTAACTGTACATCAGCTTGGCGGGATATATCAGTGGATCAGCAAAGTTGTTTAATCTGAGCAAATAAGTGATTGGGTAATTGAAATGGAAAGACAAGGAAAAGAGGTGCGTGACTGCCTCAAGTAGCTGATTATTCAGTGCTGTATGAAGATGTGATCCTTTTAGTCGAGTGTGAGAAGGGGTAAACTGGCATGACAAAATAAGTGTGTTATAAAACTCTTCCCACTGCAGTGCTATTTATCACCGCTTCCATTCTCCACCAATAGAGGGCGACACTTAAAAAAACACCCACGTTCATTTCTCATAATTTGTCACGCTCATCATACAGGATTAGTCTGAACTGTGCTGGCAAGACACTTTGTTCTTGTACCCTGCTAATATTTTTTAATTATCTAATGTATGAGGAGAGAAATTCACAGATTTCTTAGCATCCGAGTGGGTTTTACAGGTCGAGCTGAAGAAGATCTAAATCCTCTCTTTAGTTTGAAATATTTGTCTTTCTTACTGATGCATTGATAGTATCAAGAGCTTTTCTCATTGTAGTTGTCTTGAGATCAATGGTGCTTTGACGGCGAGCCTATCAGCAGAATGCAGGGTCAGTCAAGTGCAGGAAATCAGAGAGACACAAGCAGAGAAAGGAATGGAAAATAAAGAGAGAGAGAGAGAGAGAGAGAGAGAGAGAGAGAGAGAGAGAGAGAGAGGGGTGGGGGGGGGTGGGGGGGGGGGAGAGTCTGACCTGGTATATGTGGTTGAGTTTGAAGTGTTTGAGCAGCAGTAGCAAGAGAGCTGAAATCGCTTTGACGATAATCTCCTTGTGTCTGTTCACATCAATGCCCAGCTTCATGCTCTGGAGGACGGTGATTCTGTTTCACACACAAACATGGCAAATGTTTGCCGTGCGTCTAAAACAAACTGCACTGATCTTTTCATGCACCATTTTAGTTTCCGTTGTATGTGCGTTTGTGTGTAGACTTACGGCATCTCCTCTGGCAGAACGTCGGCTAGGATGTTGATAGAATCGGTCTTTGCTTTGGAGGTTGGAGCTGCAGCCAGAAGCAGCTTCAAAAGAGCAATCTACAAAGAGAATAACATTAGTGCAACACTCCTACCTGGTTTGTCTGAATAGTTGCATGCATTTAGCACTACACTATTACCAAATGTTATGCATAATCCAATATTGGGAAGTAGATCAGGGAGCAGAGTTTCACGATTTTTCTATGGAACGTGTTTTTGGACAATCGGAGGATTGGTAAAATGAAACAAATTCAGGTTTCATTTTATTGAAATATTAGAGTCAATGGTTTTTACAGAGGGGAATTCTCTTTCTATCATTCCATAAATCAGAAAATACTGTCAACAGCCAGAAGGAAAACAAAAAAAGTAAAAACTGTCATAGGAATAAAACTGGAAAGTTTGCTGTAAGTGTATACTTCTGACTCGTTTCGAGAAAACGGCCTTTAAACATATTTTGTAATTGAAATCTACAGATGCAAATAATAGATAAAGTGCAATAAAATAAACACTTAAAAGTGTTTTTTTTTCCACTAGTCAGCAACTACGTTATAAAATAGCCCCCCCAAATTCTTAAAACTGACCAAAGCACCACCTGTAGTGTCTGGCCTTAAAGAGAGATAGAACTGTAAAATATTATCAGAAATAAAATGGTCAAAAACACACTCAGATGCTTGTGAATATGTACAGTAATTAGAATGTTTGTGTAAAACTCAGTTAGAAAGATGAAGTGTAGGGGACACTTACAACATACTGTGAGAGGCTGGGCAACATTCCCAAATATAGAATCTCTGCAGGTGTTTCTTCCACCTCCTCCTCACCCTAGCCAATCAAAAGAGACAATTCCGATTGACAGCTTAATGGACCAGTAATAAAGGCACAAGAACAGTGAACTTGAGTCACTCACCATAGTCATGGGGCACTGCTGCAGCTCCTCCTCTCTCTTGATCTGGACCTCCGCTATGGAGACATACTTGTGCTTGAGAGAGAAAGGGATCAGTGAGAGAGAATTGCCATGGTGACCAAGGATGGATATCTAAACTGTGATTGGCTGAAAGAGCCCCAATAGAGCACGCATTATACTACTGGATTCACATCAATGCATATCTGTGGCAGAACAGCTGGTAAACCCGACAGATATAATCCACTTATGGAGAATCAATAGAACATTACCATTTAGTATTCATGCATATTTATAGAAATGTTCAAACCATCTTTGTTAAAGAAAACCTATTCCTTTTTCTCAAAAATCTTGATTTTGTTTTTGGGGTCTACTACAATAGGTTTTCATGCTTGATTTTTCAGATTTTTCACATATTTGACATTGTTGCAGCACCTCGCTTCCCGGTCTGTCAGTAACGCTCTGTTTAGTTCCTGTCTCCCTCCTTCCAAAGAGCACAACGTGCTCTGATTGGTCGGCTGGAGCAGTGTGTTGTGATTGGTCAAGCGCCTTGAGTGTGTTTGGGAAATGTCCCGCCCCTTACCAGAACAGCGAGTTTCAACCCACTACTAACTAACTCAACCAGGCCCTGCCCCTTTTATCCTGCGTATGCCTTGGGCAGGAATTATTTAAATGAGGAATATTGTGACGTGTTCGTTCCCAGAAGAAAACTCAAGACTACAATGGGGGCGTTTCAGGGAGTTCAGAAACAGTGCGCACTGATATGAGTGACTTTATAAATTTGCAGACATTTTTCATGCTCAAACAGCAACATTACACACTAAAGAAAGTTGAAAATTTAAAAGGACATAATAGGCCCCCTTTAATCCTCAGCTGTCTAGAAGAATACTAGAAAACAAAAATGTTTCCATGCTCACCTGTTTCAGAGTCTTTACACTCTCATGTATGGGCCGGGGTAACCCAACCAGAGTGTCAGTGTCACTAAAATAACATCAGAAAGAACAAATCCACAGTGTAAAACAGAAACAGCAGAGTATACTGATTTAATGATAATGAAGGTGACCTGTATTATAGGTTATCATAGATTTGTAACCTCAATGGAGGAGCTTTAGCCCAGGTGAACGGATCAAAGACTCACTTTCCCAAGGTGAAGCCGATAAATTTATTTCTGCTGGTCTCCAGAAAGTGCTCGATGTCTTTCTCTCTGTGGAAGGAAGCAGAGAATGGACTACATGAGGAGTTGGTTTGGCTATAAACAGATTTTATCAAAAAGATCAACGTAAAGGCATCCCTTCAGGACTGTCATCTTTACGCTAACCTCTTTAAATTGCTGCAACACCCCCCTCCGCCACCCTATCCTTCTCATCTTCATGCAGCAGCGCAGCTCAGCACAGCGTTACAATTCACAGGTACTGTACTGTACTGCATGTCAAATAATCAAGAGGATTTGATCAATTGTGACTGTCACAGCTTTCACTGTTCCAAATGCATCTCTTTTTCCTTCTTTCCTTTCTTCCTCTATCTTTGCCCATGTTCATCTGTCTCTGTCCACAAATGCATTATTTAAGCCAGACATTCTGGAGCCTGTATTTCTAGCACAGGAGCTGAAGTAGATTTCTAGGCAGTCAGACGAGTCTTTACAGATACAGTATGGAGCATCAGATACACTACATTTTAAAATATATTCAAATACAAAACAGTTATTTTAAATAATTCAGAATATTACTGTTCCCATTAGCTATGATGTTTCTATGACAAAGTTGCAAAATTAACTTATGCGCAAAATTCAGGAGAACAAATTCATCACTTCCTGGGAAATTGTCACAAAATTTCTGTAATAAAAATGGAAGTTACTGCAAAAGGGGAAGCCACTGTGGCTCTTTTTCCTACATCATAAATGACTTGCACCTCAGAGTGCGCAGATGAAACGCAGTCATGTTATCTGTTTCTGGAAGGGAATTAAACCAAATCATTTTGATGACAGACTTTGACTCAGGCATTTCCGAATAACCAAACCAACATTTGAGAGGCTGTCGATGCAATTGGTCCGCTGGTTAGTCCAGTTATCCAATCGCATCCTCTGTACATTTAATGCAGGGCTCTGAACCGGTTCAAGGAACGAAAACTAAAACAAACGAAACTTTACCAGGAACAAAAACCAAATAAAGTTCAATCATTCTGAACAGAAACGCTTATTTGAAATGACCAGTAATCGGTTAATCGTTTTGTTTCAATATTTTAATTCGGAAGTCAACCAATCATGAATTCAGATAGCACAGCCTATGCAAATGTGAAGTTGATGCATCATGGGTAAGTCGCTGACATTATCTTTTGGATCTCAGGAGTTTTTCCAAGCAACTGTTAAGGCATTAAATTTAAGTGAAAATAGTAATATCCAGCGTGGTGTGTGTTTTAAAAACCAGCGAAAAAAGCCCTGAGTTTATGGTCATTCTGGCCATCCTGTAGAGTCACATTTGAAGAAAAGATCTTGTACGCTACCTGACTTTGGGGGCCCAGGGCAGGCCCTTGGGGAAGGACACTCTCTCAGTCGGGGGCCGCAGCGGTGGTGGTGGCGGTGGCGGTTGGATGATGACGTCTCTGTCGAGAGGGTCGACCTCTCCCTCGATGCCACTGTCCACATCCTCTGGGTCATCTTCCTCATCCCGGGCATCATCGTTCTTGAAAGGGTCCCGTTCGTTGTAAGTGTCCAGGCTGTCCTGCTTGACCAGGGGCTGCAAGAGAAGAAGAAAGAGATTAATATCAAGTTGCAAATGTGCATATTACTCTGGACCCTGATATCGAGTCTCATTTATAAGTTGTAAAGGCCGTAACACACCAAACCGACATTGGTGACAGACGAAAGGCTATTGTGTTGTCGGCTGCGCCTGGACCAAAATGCTACGCTTGAACACACCGCAAAAACTAGCCCGACAGACACTCACCGACGGCCGACCGCTTGGAGTGTTATAATTTTAAAATCAAGTTTTCATTTGGCATCCTTTTTATGTAAAATAAACTGTCCGAACTGAAACATCCTGAATGAGAAGTTTCAAATGTTTACAGTCACTGAACGAGACTCACATAAGGGTCACCCACTTACTTGAGGTAATTTTTCATTGTTTAGTCTTCAGATTACATTCCCCATCCATTAGTTAGAGTTTATTGCTGAAACTTACCGTTTCGTAAACCTGCAAATGATAAGCATCACAAAAACTTTGAATCCTTGACGCAATTCTAGGGACTCGTACATTCTAGATACAACACTGCAACTCCTTTTTCAACATTCCTGTGCAGATTCAGTTCAACTAAGGCACAAAAAACAAGTTCTTTACATCTCTAGAGTTGTGCAAACGGATGAATGGCAAGATTCAGAGCAAGCATCAGGCATGAGGTGCATTAGTGGAGCGTCATCCTTTGTTCCAGTGCAGTCAATGTATGAGTGTGTCTGTGGGCGGTGCTGAGGCCATGAGCAAAGGTGACTCAGCTGTGATTGGTTGCCTATGAGAAGAAGCCATTCTGCTAGCTAGTGAGAGCCGCAGTGTGTCTATGTGGATTTCATTGACTGAGAATGTGTGGAAAGATGTGCAAATGGAAAGATAGGAGGAGGAGGAGAGAGAGTTTTGCTAATGTCCGGTAGCCATGGTCAGCTGTATTTCTCAGAACCCTTCCCTTCCCCAAATCAAGTTTCAAAGGAAAAACAAATTGCTGTGAAGGAAAAGAGAGTGGAAGAGTGCAAGGCCAGCCCACAACAAAGAAAATGCACAAAAGGGGTTTAGGGTAAAGACCTGTTTCTTGGCATATGGACTGTCTCCTTCCAAGCTATCAACAAAGGCACTCTGTAGGGACACAAGGAAGAGACGGGAATGAGCCAACAGGAAAACCAAAACCCAGAGAGAAAAGGGCAGAAAGGAGTAGAGAGGGAGACAGAGGAAAGTCAAAAACTGTGCACTGCAAAAAAGAGATTTTCTTACTCATTATTTTCCAGTACAAATATCCAGACATTCTTAAATCAAGATACATTTACTTATGAAGCAAAATGACATAAGATCTTAAAAACCCGCAAGGCTTTCGTTCATCGTCAGAACACAAATTAAGATTTTTTTGATGAAATCTGAGAGCTTTCTGTCCCTTCATTGTCAGCTACGCAACTGAAACTTGGACGCTTTAAAAAGTCCATAAATAGACAAATCCATAATGAATTAAGTGGTTTAGTCCAAATTTTCAGAAGAGACATGGTTGCTTTATAAAATGAACAGATTGAATTTAGGCTTTTATTCACATATAAACATTGATCAGTGAACATAAACAGAAGCTGAACCGAACCTGCTTGATATGCGAGAACAAACCTCTTACGGAAGCTCAAACGTGCTGCGTAACACAAGAATGAATATCATTAGTTTTCGCACATCAAGCGAACATGTTTGAGCTTCTGTTTACCACAACTGATGTGTGCATTGATTAATGTTTATATGTGAATAAAAGCCTAAATTAATACTGTTCATCATATAAAGCGATCGAGTCTCTTCAGAAAATTTGGACTAAACCGCTCACTTCATATGGATTCATTTTACAATCTCTTTATGAACTTTTTGAAGCATCAAAGTGGTAGTTGCGTAGCTGTCAGTGAAGTGGGGACAGAAAGCTCTCAGATTTCATCAAAAAGATCTTCAAAAGAGTAATTAATGACAGAATTTTCATTTTTGGGTGAACTATCCATGTAAGCAAGTTTATACTTTTTTGTTTATTCTTGTTTTAAGCAAAAACATATATTTTTTAAAATTATTTCAGAATACAAGACTTAATTTCTTAATGTCATTTTGCTTCTACGGTAAATGTTTCTTGCTTTAAGAATGCTTAGATATTTGTACTGGAAGAATAAGAAGAAAAAAATTTGTGATTGTTCCACAATGTTCACAGACAGACCGGCCAATCGGTACACTGCTAAATTTCACTCTCATTGTGACATCACCGTTGCAGTGTCTTTAAGGGCAGGAGTGTGGTAAAACACAGGCATGTAGTCCATTTTGTGTCTATTTAAAAGGTTGTGTACGTTTTTTAGGCTGGGTTGGCCATTATATTAGTATAAATAGGTAGCACGGATCAGATCTTTTTTTGTGTGTGTTTTGTATTTCACATACTGATTATATAGGTTTATGTGCATGAGTGGTTGTGTGTAGTGAGTTCAACTCATGCTGGCACAGTGATTGTACTTCTTCACATGGTTTCTGCTTGTGCAACTGCTTTGAAAGCTGTGTGTTTGTCGTGTGCTTCTCGTACCCTGCGGCTCCTGCGTCCTCTCTTCTGCTGCTGCTGTTGCTCGATGAGCTCCATGGCCGAGGCTGGAGGTGAGGCGGCTCGCATGTTTCGCACCACCTTAATGCTGTCCTCAGGGAGCGGCGGCAGGTTGAACTGCTCTCTCATCCTCACCTTCATCTCCTGCAGCTCCTCGAAACCTCCCAGTGTGAACTGAGGTGCACGTCAACACACAGACACAGAGATCAATGGACAGAGCACTTTAGAGACGGAAGCAGGTCTGTTATTGACTTGATTTAGACTTGAAACAGTCCATGATAGACACAATGTTTGTATCATGAAAAACCTTTTCTATCTGGTAGAATAGAATAGAGAGTCTACCGGTATCTACCGGTATAAGTGAAATGGAAAAAAATAGAATGTAATTTAGCATAACAGAACAAGCAGTGATTAGTGTGGAATAGAATAGAATTAATCTATAAGTGAAATGGAATAAAATATAATGTAATTTAGCAAAACAGAATAAGCAGTGATTGATGTGTGAAATAGAATAGAATAGAAAACAATACAACAGAAGTAGAAATCTATAAGTGAAATGCAATCAAATTGAATATAATAGTATAACAGAATAGCATAGAATGAGCAGTGATTAATCTGTGGAATAGAATAGAATTAATCTATAAGTGAAATGGAATAAAATATAATGTAACAGCATAACAGAATAAGCAGTGATTGATGTGTGGAATAGAATAGAATAGAATACAAAACAATAGAAGTAGTAATAAGTGAAATGGAATGAAGTAGAATGTAACAGAATAGCATAGAATAGGCAGTGATTAATGTGTAGAATAAAATTGAATATAATAGAAGTAATCTATAAGTGAAATGCAATCAAATTGATTATAACAGCATAACAGAATAGCATAGAATGAGCAGTGATTTATGTGCGGAATAGACTAGAAAAGAGTTTTGATATAAATTGGAACATATTTTATAGTAATTCTGATGTGTGTATATTGAGACTAACCAGTATGGTCTTCCACAGTAAGAGCAGCACTTTCTTCATGGGGAAATGGGGCGCATTCATACTGCAGAACTTGGTTACCATGGTGAAGAGGAGGAGGGCAAAAGGCTCTCCGTTATAAAGGGGTGAACCTGAGAGGAGGAGGGAGGTTAATCACTGCACCATAGAGAAGGTCAACAGCCAACCACTGCAAACACAGCACACACACACACGAACACAACACACGCGCGCACACCCACACGCACACACACAATATTCTGTATATCTGTAAGACTTAAGGACACAGTTCTTTCTCACCCAACTCTGTTTTGAAGGCCTCTCTGGCTGCCTTCCTCTCAGGACTGTCACCCTCCATTTCCACACGAATGGTCTCAACCATCAGATACATGATGCTCAGAAGAACCCTTCAGAACAATGCAAATGCAACAATCCCTTTACTTTCAATCAGAGTGATTGTGTGTAAGAGTGTGTGTATTAGTGTGTGAGAGAGAGAGTCATTGTTTATTGTGACCAAAGGCAAGTATTTTCCTTCAATAATCAGCTAATGCAGCAGCTTTACTTCTTACAGGAAAACAACATTCAGGTCTCAATTATGTTCGCTTGGAGAGAGCAGATATATTGGCTGCATATGAGACTGCAGTCAGAAAGATCTGAGGCTGCCTCAGTAAATCTGAGAAGTGGATTGTGGGTTGGGTGAAAAGAAGTCATGTTGTGAGAGAGCGTATGAATGTCTGTGAAAGAAGAAAATGATTCGTTCCCAGTGGACATCTTACCTGAGTTCAGTGCTGTCTGCCAGCGAAATGGCTGGCTTTCTTACCGCGGTGCTGCACGCCTGGTTATTACTGGAGGAAAAGGGAACAATACTAATTCAAAATAGCACTCTACGGACATCCTTACATAACATCTGCATCAAAAGACTCATTACAACCAGCCAATGGTTTTATTACGCCACAAAATACAATATAAATGAGTTTGTGAGAGGCAAACAGGGCATGTGGTCTAATGTCTTGCTTTCATTCTGCAGCACAAATACTAGCTTATTGCACCTGACAAGATGTCAACCTTGATCATTTGAATATGTTGTGCTTGGCCAAATATGAATCAATGCTCAGAGAAGCTGGAGGGCTAAATGTACGGCATCATAAACAGCGGTACGGCCTCCCTGAGCACAGATCTGCTGTGTGGGCTGATGGGACAATGGTACAAATACATTAAATCCGCCAGGCAGGGGCTTGAAAGAGGAGAGGCATGGTGGCCAGGCTGTCTTTGAAGAACAGATCACAGACGGCCACTCTGAGGCTCTCTGAACACAAGAGCGAGAGGAAACGGAGAGAGACGGCGGGGGTGCAGGAAATAAAGACCAGAGATGACAGCAGGTATGAGAATGATACACAAAAGAATTGTGCCTTTTTTGATCTTGCTTTGATGCTTATATTAACTTCATAAGAATATGATGAACCAAAACCTACGGTTGTTAACATTTAATATATGAAACATTATATAAGCCACAGTTTATCATCTGAAATGTGCTGCGGGAAAAAAAGCTACGTTCACCAGGGACACCGTCAGATTGTTATATTAATTCTATTATATTATATTATTCAGTGTTATTTTAGTATTATTTGTAAAAAAATAAATATATTTTGAATTATTAATAGCTTTTATTTAAGTTTCAATTTCATTTAAGTTTTAGTAATTTTATTATGTGCTTTTTTTCATTTGATTATTTTTTAGCAATTTCTTTTTCTCTTTCAGGTATCAACTCCAGGCCGTTGCTATGATGTTACTAATGTGTTCTTTGCGTTAGAGTTGTTTTTTAGGGTGTTCTGGGTAGTTGTAAAGTATGTGCAATACTAAGAGAGACATCTGATATCACTGATATCACTCTCTTAATGGAATAGAAAGATCCATTAACATGGAAGTGTACTTAATGTGGGTAATTAGAGAAATAGAGAACCAGGCAGCTGCTACCTTACACAGCGGGCATTAAGAAACAGAAAAGGAAAAGGTGTACGGCTCATTAGGACAGCACCCAGGAGAACTGCAGAAATACACATCCCCTTAAACACTGTTTCACACACACAGTCATGACTGAGCCATTTCTAACCTGCTCCCTCAGGAGAAAGAATAAAAATAGAAGCACTGTTAAACACTTCCCTCTCTGTCTGTCTCTTTCAATATTTCAGTCTTTCCCTGCCTGAAGCAGATGGTCTGGCCTCAGACACAGATCTCTACAAAGAGACTGAGGCATTTTGGGAAATGAAGACACTCACTCTATCTCCATGCTGAGGAGCTCCAGCAGAGCCGTGAAGATGCCCATGTCGTAGAGGAGAAAGACGTTGTGTCGAGACCAGTAGAGGACGTCTGTCTCGGTGTCACACTCGTCAAACACACCTTAATACACACACGGAAGCAAGAAAAAACAAGAAATCATTTTTTGATTAAGAAAGGATTTTTTTTTTTGTTGCTATTATTTGCTATTGCTTTAATATAAATATTCATAAGGTAAAGGCAGCAACAAATTAAATAATACGTCATCATTATTAAAGTAATGAGAATTGGGGGGATATGTGCTTAATAATTATGAAAATATATTAAGTTGCAGTTGAAAAATATTTTAAGGGCCCCGATATACAGTACTGTGCAAAAGTCTTAGGCACGTTAGTATTTTCACCAAAAATAAATAAATTGGTTTTACGCCAGTTATTTATATCTTTTGCTGTAGTGAGTCAGTAGAAAATATCAGTTTACATTTCCAAACATTCCTTTTGCCATTAATTGTAATAATCTAGTGAGATTTTTGTATGCACAAGGAGTCTGACAACAGCCGATATGATCCACACGGAGATCTGATCTCACCATCATCAAGTTCATCAGTTATTACATGAAAAAACTGACAGACTAAATCCAGAAGAACTGTGGCAACGTCTCCAAGACACTTGAAGAAACCTTCCTGCAAAGCTACCTGAAAAACTATGTGCGAGTGTGCCGAGGAAAAAAGCTATTTTAAACGCAAAGGGAGGTCACACCAAATATTAATTTGATTTAGTTAATAGTAGTTAATTGATAAATAAAATCTATTTATGCCATTATTTTTGAAAGCATACTCACTTTACAGCATTTTTACACAAGTGCCTAAACCTTTTCACAGTACTGTAGCTTTGCAGGAAGGTTTCTTCAAGCGTCTTGGAGACGTTGCCACAGTTCTTCTGGATTTAGTCTGTCTTCTTAGTTTTTTCTGTTTCTTCATGTGATCACAGACAGATTAGATGATGGTAAGTTGTACTTTCAATTGAAAGAGACACTGACACTGTTTTCCATGTTTTATACTGTAAAGCTGCTTGCTTTTAAACAATTGCGGAGCTCGTGCAAACATCACATCGCTATGATCAGATGCTTTCTTAACTACAGTTTTCTCACAGCTATCATTTTTGTTGTGTTTATTTTGTTATTGAGAGGAAAGAGAGCAGCACATATTTACATATTCATATAAACGCTGCTCTCAACGTCGGGATGTTCACTAACAGTATATTGCTGATCACGCCTAAGCCAAGAACGAAAAAGATTTTCGCCATGGCCTTAATGCTACTAAAATAGATATAGTTTAATATCTTTCTTTTGATGTGGGTGCAAAATATGATTTGTTCTTGACTAGTTTCACCAATTGTGGTTGCATGTGCTATATTCGTACCATGGGCCAAATAGAGGATGGCCCGGGCCACTTTGAGCCTCTTGTCCCGATCGGTGACCTCCAAAGCATCCAGCAATCTCATGACATACGCCCTCTGCTCCTCCAAACTCAACATCATCCATCTCCGACCCTTCACTGAGAGCAGAGGACAGAAGAATCAAATCTCTGTCCATGTTGATCATTTCTGTCATTCTTCTTCCACCTCCCATTCTGGTTCATTTCTCACATGTGAGAAAGATTAGTCAGGATTTGTGTTGCTCAAACATCCGTGAGAGGGGCGGCACATACTTGTTCACTTCACTGACCTTTCTTCTCATAAATGTTCCTCAACTATATATACCAGAGGGGGATTAATGAATGCAAATTACTGTACAAACCTTCCTGGTTTGAAAATGCACTTGGTAAAACATTTACTATATGCTTATTAGAGAGTTTGTGTGTCAGATTTCTGCTGTAAAGTCTTTAGTGAAAGGAATGTGTAAAATTAAATCCCTGAGCTCATTCATCTGACACTGAAAGATTTACATGTGATTTCTGATGGGAATGATTTTGATCTTGGAGTATTACAGAAATGTTTGGTGCAAAACTCAGCATTTTTGTCTTGTTTTCCAGCGCTAGTGTCTAAATATTCTTGAATCAAGACAAATTCACTTAAGAAGCAAAATAAAATTAGAAAAAATCAAAAATTTCCTGAAAAATGTATAATTTTTTTTGCTTAAAACAAGAAAAATATAGTTTTCCCTTTGAATCCAGCGTATTTTTCTGACCCCATTGGCAGATTTTTAAAAATTATTTTAAGCATAAACATTTTTCATAAAAATACTTAATACCTTAAAGGGGTCATGAATGGCATTCTTAAATTTATAATGTTCTCTGAAGTCCACATAATGTTAGCAAGATTTTTACATAAAAAACATCCTAATTTAGAAACAATAGGCTCATTTCTATCCTGTTTTTGAGCCTCTCTTTTAAACTGGGAAGTAAATGCCCACTGCTATGATTGGGTAACAGTTTTGTATATTATAATAATTGTCAACGTCCCTGTTACACGTGTGGAATAGTTTTGAAAATTTCCGATGTTGAAAAATGGCAACTGGTAAAAATTCAGCCATACACTTTTGAGCCAGAGATCCCGAATCAGAAGACAATAAAAAAGAAACAAATATTTTACTACTATTTACTACTACATGACATAAATCGGTGGTCAGGGCTAAAGAGTCAATGATGGCTGATCTTCTTCTGCAGAGGCGGTCTTTTGGCACACAATTACGTCATACTGAGATGAAATCCGAAACAAGTTGTTTTCTGAGCCTGGTTTCAATAAAAGGAAGCATTTATCTCTGAAACTTACAGGACATTTTTATAGTACATGATTGACCTCTTATATGTAAAAAATTAAGGAAAATTTTATTTCTCAATTCATGACCCCTTTAAGACATTTTGCTTCTCAAGTAAATGTATCCTGATTTAAGAATGTTGAGAAATTTGTACTGGAAAACAAGACAAAACTACTAAGAAACAAAATCATTTATTGCACTGCATTTCAAATGGGAATAGTTTTAAATGACCCATTTTCTTGTAAGTGCCTGAGAGAGGGTGGAAAATTAAACTCGTAAGTGAAAAAAAAAAGAAAAAAGACCACTTTGGATGGCAGCAACTTTCAAAAGTACGAATGTGTCTTGTAAACGACTCCAACACGTGACATGAAGTTGCTTCAGAATCAACACAGACGTACAGCGCACACAAACACACAAAAGCTAACGTCACGTGGGTGATCCAGGCACTTTTTTCCATTCAGTAGAGACTGCAGTGCCAAGGCATACACACAGAGAGAGAGAGAGAGAGAGAGAGAGAGACAGAGAGTGAGAGGTCTGGTGAGGTGAGATTGTGCACACAGCAGGCAGGGTAAAGCCTGAGGCTACACACACACACACACACACATCGTCACTACATAAACATTCATTAAACTTCTCCTTTTCTCACAGAAAAACAACTGTGGAATTTTGCTGAGGGTTTATTTCTGTTCTCTTTCAGACACAGGTGGAAATGAAGCTCCGGCCAGTTGCATAAACATAGCCAATAGGTTAAGACAGTGTCTTAAGATCTAGCATGACCACTAGCAGTTAGTCAAGGGGTATTCAGTCTTACTTTTCAGTATCATATTAGGCCAATCTATGTTTTATGTAACTGATTTAAAAACGTTGATGAAAAAATTTATGTCTAACTTGTAAGACTAGTCTTAGCGGTTTACGCAACCTGCACTCCAAGCAGTTTCTTACCATTACAATGCAATTTGAGCACAAAAATCTTAAACACTATTGATGTTAGTGTGTCAGATGCAATAACAAATAAAGATCTGTTTGTTAATCTGTGTTTGAGAACGCAAAGTTTCTTGGGGAAACAAAACTTTTGCGAGCGAATGCAACAGCATTAAAATATGTATTTTCCTCCCATCCCATTTTTTTTTCATCACCATGTACCTTTAGACCTCCGTAGATTTATGCTTAAAACATGAAAAACTATTTTCCAAAGTGGGAGGAACCCGTTTTACCATGAAAAAAAATATTAAAATAATTTTTTTTTTTTTTTTTTGCAGTGCATTATAGAAGCATATGACTTGGACTTTTAGCTGTAATATAACACTGGCTACATTACCATGATTCTTGAAGTCTTCCTCAAAGTAATCCCTGTTTAGACTGAACTCTGGTTCCTCTGTGTAGCTGTACAGCTCTGTGTGAAAGAGACAACAACAACAAAAAAGACATGATTAAAAGAAACCAAGCACATAACATGTCATGGGCTTTCCATAGTAAAATACATTCATTAAATATTAATTGGCATGTTGTGCATTACATGGCAATTAAAATGCACAATAATGAGTCTTTAGACAGAGAGGCTCAAACTGTCCCTAAATACTATAGTAACAAGCATCAACAGCAAATAACATTTACAAATTATAATATTGTATAATAATACTTGGTAACACTTTTCCAACATACATTCTACTAACTATAAGTATCTTTGCACCTAAATGTCAACTAGCAATTATTAGAGTAGACTGTCCACTTAATATTTGCTAACCCTTTATTTTGATGCTCCCCCAACAGATATTCTATATAAAGTAACTTTGCAACTACATGTCAACTTGCTCTACTTACCCTTACCTAACAGTCTACCAATACTCTAATAGGTTAGGCGGGATGTAGTTGCAAATTAATAAAAGTTAGTTGGTGTGTAGTTGCAAAGCTATTAGAATGTCTAAAGTGGACTATTGAAATAAAGTGTAACCTAATACTTTATATACTGCCACATTTAGTATAATTAAAGGCATAAAAGCTCCAATTTATAATGAAACACATGAACCATGCACATTCATAAACTTATCAGTAAATATATACAGTATATAATGCACATCTGTTCTTCAATGACTTCTATTTTAAAATTAAATCTACGTTTAAACTCTTGCAACATCTAAAACTGTTCTTGTGCTGCTTCCATATGTCATTTAAATACATTCTTTTAAGAGACTAAATCACCCGAATTCAGTGATTGTTCACCCAGATATGTTTGTGTGACTGACCTGAGAGCTCAGCAGTGAAGCCATCTGTGTCCCCATATTCAAACTCCAGGTTGGGGGACTCCATGGACCCCTGCGAACCAGAAGCATACAATAACTGCACTGCTACAACAGAAAGTGTCACATGTCTAACATCCTGGAGCACCTACCAACTGCATTTCAGGTCTTTCCACTATTTCATCAGCATGTGCTTTTCCCTGTAATTATGCAAATGTAGCTAGGACACACTACTCTAGTACTTCAACAACTACAGAGTGGGAAATGTAAAGGAAATTTACACATGCTCACACATACACACTGACAGTGAGCATTTCCATCAGTGCAGTACCACACAGTAACTCAGTAGCCACAAAGATCGAAATATGAAGAAGCACCACTGCACACTACAGTAAGTGAAAAGTCACAATTAAAGCCACACGTTGCATCTCAATTCACATACTCAATTGTGACTATGATTAAAGCATCTCAGATTATAAATAGCTTGTTACGGGTGACTGGATGCTATACAATTTTGGTCGATTTTCTAAGTTTGCATCAGTAGTAAGCTGTTTTATAGCTGCTATATTGTTTACGACTCTGGGAAAGGAAGAGTTTGTAACTGTTCTCGACTGTTTTGTTGTGTGCACCTTGTATATATTAGTATTTACCTCAGCTTTTGGAAGAGCTACTTGTGATGAGCTTTGGTTCATTATATGTTTTTTTTTTACCACCTGTGTGTTTTTAAGGTGGTGGTGTCACATAACAGAAACTGCTTTCCAGTGGTTCAAGTCTTACCTCTCAGGTCGGTCCTTCAGGGTGTCTTAGAGGGGTGAGGTGTCTAAGTCGCAACATCTAGCTACAGGGGTGCCTCAGGGCTCAGTGCTTGGACCACTTCTCTTCTCCATCTACATGACAACACTAGGATCTGACATTCAGAAACATGGCTTTTCCTATCATTGCTATCCTGATGACACACAACTCTACCTCTCATTCTATCCAGACGATCCAAGAGTAGCTGCTCGCTTCTCAGCCTGCCTGATAGACATTTCTTGCTGGATGAAGGACCACCACCTTCAACTCAACTTTGCCAAAACAGAACTGCTTGTGGTTTTGGCCAACACAACTTCTCCATTCAGCTAGGCTCATCAACCATAACTCCTTCCAGGACAGCCAGGAACCTTGGAGTTGTGACTGATTATCAGTTAAACTTCACAGACTACATTGCTAGAACTGCTCGGTCCTGCACATTTGCCTTATCCAACATTAGGAGTATCAGTATCACCCTTCCTATCGGAGCATGCTACACAACTCCTTGTCCAGGCTCTTGTTCAATCCATACTGGACTATTGTAATGCTCTCTGGCAGGCCTTCCAGCATGTACTTTCAACCTCTACAACTGATCCAGGATGCAGCAGCGAGAGTGATCTTTAATGAGCCGAAGAGAGCACGTCACACCTCTCTTCATCAATTTTCACTGGTTGCCAATAGCGCCTTGCATCAAATTCAAGGCACTGATGTTTGCCAACAGAATAACCACTGGCTCTGCACCCCATACCTCAACTCACTACTTCAGACTTTTGCGTCCTACAGAAGCTTGAGTTCTGCAAGTGAATGGTGCCTTGAGGCGACATCCCAAAGGGGCACAAAATCACTTTCACAAACCTTTACCTTGACTGTTCCCTGCTTGTGGAATGACCTGCCTAGCTCAACATGAGCAGCTGAGTCTTTAGCCATTTTCAAAAAAACAGCTAAAGACGCAACTTCTTCATCAAGACTTGACCCATTAATACTAACACTTTCTATTATATTTTTTTCTATTTATTAAAAAAAAGACTTGCTGCGTGTACTGTGCTAGACTAAGGCCCTGTTTACACCTGGTATTAAAAAGCATTTTCGTCAATCATGTTCGGTGTGATCTGGCGGCTGTCAGAGCAGAAAGGAGAGATGCAGCTCTCCGTATGTTTTTCAGTTTCCTTTCATGTTCATATTTAAATTGCGTGAGCTTATTTCCTCCATTAGATCAAAAGATCTGAAAAAGCCCATACATTTACCCGCACATAAACCCTCCCCTCAAAGAAATCAGGACAGAAGTGGTCGAAAGTGGACAAAAGATTAAAAAGACAGTGTTTTAAACAAAGACAGCGTTTTAGACAAACTGGAATAATCGTCAAATCCAAAAAGTGTAACTGCATCAAAGCCCAACTAAACCAAAACACGGAGCAACTGAAAGAGCGGAACGCCCCTCTATTCCTTGAAACAGACTGGAATAATTTGTAAATCTCAAAATGGGGCTGCACAATGTGTCCTGTATCAGAATTGATCTGGACCAAAAACCAAAAGATGCCAGTTAATTTTCATCATTTAATATTCATAACTTATTTAATGCAGCCATATACAATCATTCATCCCTGTATTTTGCATTATCTATTCTTCACAGCATGGTGTTAAGTTTATATTAGACTTATCCCATAATTACCACTCTGAAGCTCGATTTTGGATGCATCTGACCTAAAAAAAAACATTACAACTGAGTCACCCACTATTATGCTTTTTGACAAACCTCAGATTTGCCTTCACATGCTTCCGTTTGACCAATGGACACTTTTTGCCACCCACCCATACAGACCAACGTTATCCACATCTTTTCACAATGATTCTGAAAGAGCTCTTGATATTGGTGGACTCATACAGAGTTCAAGACCTGAGATCATTTTCAAAGTGATTGTTGACCTCGCTCTACTTTCTCATAGACTGCTTTTACAGTACTCTTTACTTTGACAGCTATTAGCTGAAAATACATTGATGAATCGAGGAAACTTAAAATAAGTCCCCATCAGGGTTATTATTGTTAACTAAAGCTATTAAAAACAGTTGTGTTAATTGAAATAAAGCTGAAAAAATAATAATAATAATAAAATAAAAAACTTAAACAAAAAACAGAAATGGGATGTTGAAAATTAGAAATGTTGTCTTTGCAATAAACTGAAATATGTATAGGTTGAAGCACTAAAATTATTAATTGGAAATAAATAAAAACTAAAACTAACTAAAACTAAAACTGAAATAAAAATAATTGAAACCTAAATAGCAATTTAAAAAATAATAATAAAATGGCAAAAGGACATAATGAAATGACAAAAAAAAATGTATTAAAGCTAGCAAAATATTTGTTTTTAAAACCAATAAAATGACAAAAGGACAAATTTAAATGACTAAAAATTTAACTAAAATTAACATGAATAAATTAAAACTAAATATCAATATAAAAAAATAAATAAAATGACAAAAGCTCATAACAAAATGACTAATAAAAATATAGAAATAAAAGCTCATTTAAAATATGAATAAAGCTCAAATAAAAAAAAACTAAAATAACTGGTCCGCATCAGGCCAGTTGTTTTTCATCTGTGTAAATTAGTGATCAGAAATAAAACAAAATTTCAATTTTAAATGTATAATGCATTATGGGCAAAACATTTATATTGGATGTGAGAAATCATCATAATCATCATCATCATAATGCATGTGCAGATTTTATGTATGCATGCAGTTGTACACACAAAACTAATGATTTCTCATGTTTACCCTCTCCTCTCTTTCTCTAGTCACAGACATGTGTGGCACAGTCAGGGGCATTTTATTTTGGACCTCAGGAGCAGATGGCATTGATACTCCTGGTTTAAGGCCCTGACTGAGAACTGTGTGGGAGAGACAGAGAGAGAGATAGAGAGAGAGACATGGGCTTTCCTTTTGACAGCGTTACAGACACCTTCCCTAAATGTTATACTCCCACTCTGATCTCCCAGAAGTAGAACTCTCATGTCTAACCCAAACCAATGCCAGATACTGATAGTTTTAGAGAAAACATGACAGGTCAAGGGCCAAAACATGTGATACAAAGGCAAACTGTGGATACTTATAGACTAGAACAACATCCTATAAACAAAATACACATTTATGCAGTGAATCATGACACGGATTACTCAGACACACAAGTATCAAATATGATACATCAGTCTTTTGATGAACATTTATTTTTTTATCATTGTATTGCACTGCATTATGTTTTGCCCCCCACAATAAAAACTGCAGAGATTTGATCATAAAACTAAGCATTTAAATATATTTTTAAAAATACATATTATTGGCAGATATAGAGTGACCAATGATATTTAGTCATATTTAATCAGAAAAAAACACATATGCTACTTTTTAATATATATATATATATATATATATATATATATATATATATATATATATATATATATAAAAGATTTTTCTGTCTTATTTCATATGTCAGGCTTGCTTTACAGGATTAAAATTCCAGTTTTCTATTTATATTTTGAGTATATTCACATCGATTTCAACATTGAATCTAAAGCCCAAAGTGCAGCTGAATCAAAGCCCAACCAAACCATAACAAGGAGCAACTGAACAAGAGTTGCATGCGAAAACAAACGGGAATAATCTGTAAATCTCAAAACGGGGCTGTACAATGTGGTTCCCTGTGCAAGCATTAACCTACTGGACCAAAAACCCAAGGACACCAGTCAATATTCATCATTTAATATTCATAACTCCTTTTATGCAGCCAGATACAATAATTCATCACTAATATTAACATGCACTTATCATAAGACCAAGCACAGAGTTTCACATCCAGTATATTCTGGTTTAATGACAGATCACTCACATATTTGACCCTTGAGTTTCACTCCTCGTCATAAACTCCAGCCATGCACATCATTTTAAGGCTTTTTGTGTACATTCAAACCGCCTCCCCACCACTGTCCTAGAAAATCTCTGCTGCAGGAGTAAAACACGCTCTAATTCCTCTAAAAAAAAAAAACAACAACAAAAAAAAAAAACCCGCCACATTCAATATGCTCAACGATCACGGCTGAGGAATTCATTTCCATAACTTCACTAGGCTGGACATATTCCAGCACAATATGTGTTACTGTCCTTAAAGACTGAATATGCCCTGTACAGTGCCAAATTGAGACTCAAATATGTGGATGGATGGATGGATGGATGGATGGATGGATGGATGGATGGATGGATGGATGGATGGATGGATGGATGGATGGATGGATGGATGGATGGATGGATGGATGGATGGATGGATGGATGGATGGATGGATGGATGGATGGATGGATGGATGGATGGATGGATGGATGGATGGATGGATGGATGGATGGATGGATGGATGGATGGATGGATGGATGGATGGATGGATGGATGGATGGATGGATGGATGGATGTTTTAAATAAATGTAATGAAAATAAATAATTCACCAGCATATTGTATATTACAAATACATTTAAAGTCTATTGAACCCTTTAAAGCCCAATATCCCAATAAATATTCTATAATATTAGGCTACTATCGACCAAACTGGTTTTTAATTATTTTTTTATGTATATCATAATGCATTTGGTATGTATGCCCACTGACAATGATGGGTTAATGTGATGTATACACATGATTAAGAGCCAATTGCATACATTCTCAGCATTTTGCATGCGCATGTGCACATATACAGTGGAAGAAGTGGGAATTAAAGACAGAAACAAATGCACCCTTCATGTTTCCCCTTCAAAGACACGCACATGAAACGCATGTATACCCTATAAAACCATCAGCCAGTCACACCATATCAAATTCCTACGGAGAAGGTATTTTTAGCACCATGCATGTTTCTAAAATAACAGCTCGAGGCATTTAAAAGCCCCCAGCAACAAGATATACACACACCCCTCTACCCCTGCAAACTGTCAGTGTGCTCGGATTACCTCCGAATCCTTCAGCTGATGGCTGAACCCATCTCTCTCTTGAGCCAGAGACTTCTGTCTGTTACTGTTAGAATCATTAAGTAAAGGTACCTCCATGTCGTCGGTCTGCTGCATCTGTCAGGCTGAGGATGTGTTCGCCGCACGGAAATACACAGTCACACTGGAACATACGCTGCAGGATTCCACGCTCCGAGTTATCTCCGGCCCCGCCGCTCTGATTGGCTGCTGACGCAACGCCTGCGGCGAGCCACGCCCACACCGCACTTGACCACGAAAGTGCAGGTGCTACTTTTGCATTCCAGTGCACATCATATATGACACTATTTTAGACCATTTTAAAAACAAAAATGCAAAAGACTTATGAGGCATGTTCCTTTAATTTCTTTACTTTAACGTTGTAATTTACCCCTGGCATAAATTGTTTTCTCCTACATAGATGTTTTCATATTTGTTGTGAGTTGTATATATTTTTACGAATTTTGTGTAGGGTATATTCTGGTGATTCATAAAAAAAAAACAAATAGAGAGCACATCACAATGAATGCTTTTCCACTGAAAAAAACTGACCATAATTCTCTTAGAATGTAGGCCTACTAATTTTAATAAATGTTTATTTTGCGTTTAATTTGAGGTAAACCCTGCAATAATGAATGTTAATATCTTGCGTTTCTATTTAATATATATGGGAGTGTGGAGTGTGTGTGTTTTTTTTAACACCCCAGTGCATATGCTTGTGTCGCTTATTAGTTAATGTAAAATACATAAAGACATAAATAAAACCAGTCAATCTAAGAAAGACATGTGGCCTTTAGAGAGTGCTGTTGTGATGCGGCCAAACAAAGTGCTATTATTCAGATTGAGGAACAGAAAGAACACTTGAGTTTTCTTCTCTACAGCTAGAAAGAGACACATTGTGACGTTTTTGACAAGAGAATTATTGATCGTTGAGAGGAAGGGGACACGTTCGGCATGGCGGTGTCAACACACAATACAATGGACATTTTAATTTGAAAGTGTGAAAGACGACCATAAATTGGACTAGGAAAAGTTTAAGACTGGCAGTGAGGTCACTGAAAGCCACAACGTTATCCCATTCAGACGATGCACCATTCTCAGGGTGTTTAGTTTAGGCTATGAGATGATAAAAATTGCACTTTAAAATTAATTTTCAAAAGTTTGCATTTTCAGGCCCCCAAAACCACGTTGTCGTATAAATGAGCGGCCAAAACACAAAGTTTTCCGTTTTTAGTTCCATTTTATTTTCATGGTGTCTGTCATAGCCTACAACAGGTCAGAATGAAGATAACCAACAGCAGCAGCCCTTGAATGTGGACTGGGAAAAAAAACAACTAAAATGGTACGCTAACAAATTAACTGTTTTGATCAAGTCAAAAATATCGTTTAACATAACTGAAACCACCTAAATACATTGATTTATTCCATCAAAACGTATTTTTGTGTGTTAAAGCAGATAAAACTCTTTAAGGTAAAATTGGCAAGTTAGCCAACATTGTGTTTGTTCATGTAGCCTGAAGGTGTGAGTGGCAACAGCAGCTGTTCTCGTTTTTGCATATAGCCTAGTACCCCCCAAACCATCATGTGTCCATAATAAACACCCACTGTTTACACTGTCCAATTATAACTCCGATCCATGAGCTCAATGTCCAGAAATATACAAAGTGACTAAGCTCACCAAGAATAACAACAGCTTTCAAATACCTTATTTTTAGGTATCAACCAAGTCAAAATTTAGGCCTACTTTTCCTAAAGGCATCATAACAGCTTCCCCACTTTTCACTGGGATGCCCACAGCATTTAAAACCCCCTAAATGATAGTCCTTCTAAATTAGGCCTTGCACAGAGCACTCCCATCCATCTCGAGCACTTTCAGGAAATTAAAGAAAGCAGAAGCTGAACGCTTGTCTACAAACAAGCAGTCTCCTCTTCACAGAAATTAACGGATGGAGTCTAGCTTACATTGGGAAGGAATTCAGAGTGTGCAATAATCAAATAATCCATTTAAGCATATCAAAAAAAGTTTTTTCAATAATAACGTCAGGAATTAGATCAAAGACTATGTGCAAAAGTATTTCCTGAATGGGTCATTCTTTACTGCTTTCAGCATTTGTGTAACCTTTTTAAACACCCCCTTACAAAATAGGGACTTTGTGCTCTTTGTGAATCAGTTCTGGTATTAAAAAACATCCATGAACAATCAAGTCAAACATGGATATGACACCAATACACTGCATTAAAAAAAAGGATTTTCTTAATATTTTTGTCTTCCAGTATAAAAATATCTAAACATTTTAAATCAAGATAGCATTTAGACTTGAGAAGCAAAATGACTAAATAAAAAGTCTTATTTTCTGATTAATGGATATTAACCCTCTGGGCTTCTTCGGTCAAAAATGACCGAAACAGTATACGTTTTGAAATGTTTAATTTTTTTGCTTCATCGGAGGGGGATGAAACTTGGTGACTTTTGTTGTATTACCTATGTGAACACACAAAAAAATCAAGGAGATGATTCGGATATGTTAAAGGGTCTTAAAAAAAATAGTCACACTTAGCTTCCTTTCGGTCAAAAATGACCGACATAGGAAATTAATGGGAAATACGAAAAAATAGGAAAACTCAGAGAAACTTTTGGTGGTACAAACTACAGATCAGCCACTGTGCAGAAAAAAAGTGTACAGCAATGAAGGGGTGACACTCTAAAACATCAAGAGTGCAAATAAGACACCTCCCCCCCCCCACACACACACCCACACACCCACACACACAAACACACACACACACACAGAGAAATGAATAGGAAAGACTGTAACAGCAAATGTTGAGAAAATGCTAAATAAAATCAAAAATTAAAATAAAGTACAAAAGATAGGCTACTCTTTCTCGCTCAAATGCACACACACACACGTCATCATGTCTAAAACAACAATATGAATCAAAAAGCCTTTCTATGTATTTATATAGGAGGCCTGCTACAGGCGGTTACGGACATTACACACATTTATAATTTTTTACTTATCTAAAAAAAAAAAAAAAAAAAAAAAAAAAAAAAAGTAGTCTTTTAGCATATCTAAATATATATCTAAATAAAAAAAAACGAATAAGAGAGAGAAATCATGTCTAAAACAGCAATAGGAATCAAAAAGCATTTCTATGTATTTACATAGGAAGCTATGGGCAGCCTACAGGCGGTTACGGACATTACACACTTTAAAACATTTTTAAAGCCACTGGATGGCGGTATTCTCACTTGAATTTTTTTTTGCCTGCTGCCAGCATTATATTTTAATGTGTCACGTTGAGTTTTTTGAAAAAAAAATTTTTATATAATAAAAAAAAAAAAAAAAAAAAAATCTAATGGAAAAAATAGCTCGTAAAAATTATATAAATAATGCAAAGTATCATAAAAATCTTTAAAAATTCTAAATAATAATAAGAAAATATTATTGAACAAAAATATATTTGAATGGTTTTCCTGGGGGGGGGAAAAAGTTACATTTTAAGGCTTCGGTCTTTTTTGACCGAAAGGAAGCCAAGTGTAACCCCTAAACAAAGAAGCCCAGAGGGTTAAGCGAGTTTATGATTAACAAATTGCGAGTGGGGTAAGAAAAATACTCAATTCGGGAAAACAAGATTATATTTCTTACCCTATGGCAGATATTTTGATTATTTTGTTCAAAAACTCACTTGATTTTGATAATTATAAGACTGATTATTCATACTGTTAACCAAGACAAAAATACTGAGTAAGATTAGGATATTGCTTAGCAGTGTAACGTGAAACAAAAAATACCGCAGTCGGTAGCTACCTGCAAAAAAAGTTTACACTGGTGATTTTTATTTTTGTTCCTCAGGATTACAGATTATTGCTCATCTACCATCACTTGCCATATTTAAACATTGTTGACAACTCATCATTAAAGACTTTCTTGTTTGTAGTGAAGATTTACAACAATATATAGATGTTTGAACGTCTTTATGTCAACGCTCGTTCTCCATAAGAGGTGCTGGTGTTGATCCCATGCGCTCCACGTGATTTTAAAACCATCCCGAAAAATCCTCTGCAAAACCCAGGCCTGGAACCACCGTCTCCTGCCACACTGCAGCAAAGACCCCGGTTTGTGCTTTGTGCACACGAGCCTCTTAAACATTGTAATGCGCGCGCGCGCACACACACACACACACACACACGTAACCTCAAAAAAAAAAGAAGATTTAAGACAATGGGTTGAACACATTTTAACAAGACGTACACTAACTGATGTGCTTTAGTACAGAGATTGTGTGTTAAGCAGATAAAGAACGTGATAGGATGATTATTGAAAAGATGGGGTGTATTGAAACATTTACAGATTTAATACGACGCTCTGAACACAAACTACCGAAGAGCAGCACATAACAACATATCAACAATCATTTAACCCGTCTTGTGTTTGTAGAGAAAGCAGAAGTTTGTGAGAAAACGTAACACTGTAATATGCCTTTAGGGTTTTGTAAAGTGTCACTGCAAAAATGATCTTATTCAGTATGTTTGTCTTACCAGTAAAAATATCTAAACATTCTTAAATCAAAATACATTTTATTGAGAAGCAAACCTATTGGCCAACGCTGGGCATGTGTGTGATGCGTGTGATGTAGGCCTACAACCCAGAACTCACTCAAGGACCACAGAGAAGGAAATTAATAGTTGAATAAAGTCGTTATTTTTGTTAGGTTTTTTTTAGCACAAAAAGTATTCTTGTCACTTGATAAACTTAAGATTGAGCCACTGTAGTCACTTGGACTATTTTAACAATGTCTTTAATAACTTTTCTGGGCTGGCAAGTTTCAATCCCTTAGAAGCCTATGGAGGAGTGATCCACCTCTCAGATTTAATAAAAAATATCTTAATTTGTGTTCCGAAGATGAACGAAAGTTTTACGAGTTGGAACAACATGAGGGTGAATAATTACTAACAGAATTTTCATTTTGGGGTGAACTAACCCTTTAAAACAGCGCAAATGTTTCACTGCATGTCTTTAGTAAATCCTGACAGTGGTTTTTCAACGCCAAAAGAGGGTTTGCGCTGGCACAAGCTGTTAGTAAATCCAGCTCTTAATATCTTAAGTCACTTTGCTTCTCAAGTAAATATATCTTGATTTCAGAATGTTTCAATATTTGTTGAAAATCCCATTATCAAAAATCCTGAGTAAGAAAATCATTTTTTGCAGTATGATATAAGCAGCCTAATTTTTGAAATGCCCCAGGAACAGTAACGTGATGTTTTATCATATAACAAGGACCATAAGTCGGACAAACATTACCAGCTAATTGACACCTAAACATGTGACAGTCCTGAGTAAAGGAAAGTGACACCACATTAAATAGGAAACAGGTAAAAAGTCATTTCGATTCCCTTTATGACAAACACGGATGGCAAAAAAGAGATAAATATCTGCCATAAAGATTTTCAGAAGTATAGTAAAATATAGGTCCCAATTTTATTAGATTTGAATATCCCAGTCACAAAGGCAGCTTTTGCTCTACAGGCCTGCAAACAGCAAAGCTTTCCTTCAATCCTCTGAAATGAGTACACAGTTGGTCTTGGCTTCATTTAACACACACACATCTCTCTCTCCCATTGAGGACCTGGAAAGAAACTCAGTACCGGATTAACTGTACATTTGGTATCTCATTGATATAGGCTCTACTTCACAGTATATAAAACAAGGGTTTCATTAAATTTCATATTACACTAGAGTATCGTATAACATTTAATTGCTTATTTTTATAATGATAGACAGAGGATGAGTTCATAGGAACAAAAGATGATGGCAGAAGGAAAAGATTAAAAAAAAAGTATAAATATCCTAATATACACTCCTGTGATTACACAGCCTGATGAGTTTCAGCAATGACATGGATAGATTTGTGAATGCGCACAGTTTGAGCATTTCCATCTCAAACATCAATACTGACATTCTTAAAAACTGGAACGAGCATGTTGCTTTTGGGAGCGAAATTTGAAATGTTAATGCCTCAGCCAATGAGCTTCCAGTCTATATGAACGGTGGGGATAAGCCCCGCCCCCAAATCTTTCACAATCCAGTTCAATTTCAACAGATTTTATTTAGAACCAAGAGAGCGCAAAACGTTAAAATCTGCTGTAAAAATTACGGTAATACAAGTTTAAAAAAAGAATAAACAACAAAAAAAGAATAGTGTGATCAGCTAAAATAAACGATTTCAAACCCGGCGCCTGACTGTATTCTGTCCCACCCCCCATTTTATATAAAGAAAAAAATCATGTAGAAAACAAGAGAACAGGGCACATGCAATTTTAAGCATGTCCATGACTAAATCATCAGGTATGATTGAACATTTTTTTTTTTTTCTCTTTTTTTTTTTTTTCTCTTTACCGGAACTTATAGTTAAACAATAAAAGTTCTCTAAATGGATTACGTACAACTAACACATGAAGCTAAGAAAAGATGAAACGGTGAAATCTCCATGAAAACGTCGCTAGGTTGCACCACTGGCAGTAGCAGCTCATAAAAGGTTAGCCATGTTATTCTAGCGTAAAATAAATAAATACTGCCTAGCGCTAATTAGCCACGCCCCCTTCACCCTCAACCAATCAGATCAGGACTTCTCCCTCGCCTTCAAAGGCAGGCTGTGACACACAGCTCTGTCTCGCCTTCGTCAGTATGAATTTATGGAGTCTTGGTAATTTCTTTAGTCTTCGTTTCCCATCTGTAAATGGATCTAGTACCTAAAAATAAAACATTACAAATGGTTAATAACAGACAGGTTGAGGAGTTTTTAAAGTGCCCCTATTATGCCATTTTAAAGGTTCCTAATTTTGTTTTGGAGTCTACATGCATCCAAGGTCGAAACACACTCTCATAATATACATTACAGCTTCAGCTCTTTTCTCAGTGTTTGAAACCACTCGATAAAGGATTGGGTCTCTCTAAACCCCTCCTTTCCGAGACCCTACTCGGCTCTGATTGGTCAGATGGCCCAGTCTGTTTTGATTGGTCTACTGCTTACAGCACATCTTGGAAACGAATCTCCCATCCTATATCTTAATTTCAGCTCCAGATCTTCCTCAGTACTTGATACACAGCGATACGAACAGTAACGATGGTGTCAGTTTTACTGTATCAATCTCATCCTTTTAAAGTGCATGTAAAGTGGATTTGCTTTCGTAGACGTAGTGGACGTTGTTCACCGGCAGCCAATGAGGAATATGCGTAGCTATGTAACAGGAAGTGAGACTGGAAATGCTGACGACTCGTTTCAGGCAGTTCAGAATTGGTTCTTTCTTTTAGGAGACAATAACTTAATTTGTCATGCACTTTGATCTTTAAATCTTTCCAGACCTTTTACATTCACAAACAGCTATATTACACACTGCATGAAAGGTAATATTTGAAAAAGCATAATAGGGGCATAATACATTTTAAAATCAAACTATTTTAACAAGCAGCCGCTGACCTGTAGTAGTTTGGCTTAAAGGGTCCGTTCTTGTTCAGGCCAAGGTATTTGGCCTGTTCGTCAGACAGTTCAGTCAAGTGTGCATCAAACGTAGGGAGATGAAGGCTGGCCACATACTCATCTGCAAAAACAGCAGTTTAGTATTTAAAATTGTGCATCAAGACACATCAATATAACTTGCACTTTATGCTCACTATTATGTTATTCATAATTTTTTTTTTTTTTTTTAATCACATTCAGAAAACAAAATGCTATTTAAACAGTTTTTTACTTCCAATGCAAAGATTGAGGCTACATCTACATTAATCTGGCCATTTTAGTCTTTCTTATGCCGGGCGTACACCAAAAGACTTTGAAAAGATTTAGAAAAGACTTTATAAGATTATCAGCTCACATCTAAAGACTTTGGGTTCACAGTTTTTAGTCTCAGACTAAAGATTTTACAAACACTGAATCTTGTAGTGACACTATTTACAGGACTACAACTAGATTATTTTAGCTTTTTATTCCCACCAAATTCCTCCCATCATGCTCAGCAGTGATTTAACAAAAATGGAGGAGAAGCAGCTATAGTTAGCTACTGTATCACATTATGTTGTATGATCCAAAATATGTCTGAAGGTAGGCCTACAGTGGTGGTGGTATATAAGATAAGATAGACCTGACATTCCCACAATGGGGAATTTCTCAGTGTTGCAGCAGCACAGTCGATATACACCCCTAGACACATATAGTAAATATGTTCACTTTCAGCCTTTAAATCATTTTTCACAAAAAAAAAAGACAAGTTTTTTTAAAAAGACAAACCTCAAAAAAAATATATATATATAATAATAATAATGTAAACAATGTATACAATAAATAAACAGTGCAGTGATGGCTGCTCAGTGCAGTGATGGTGTTCTGCGGAGAGTGGGAGTCACTGTCCAAATTATGTGATTATCATCATTAAATAATAATAATAAATTATCATTATTATTAAATTATATAAAGGCAACCATACGGTCATGTGAAAAAAAAATAGGACACCATGAAAGCCTGTCTATTTTTCAACATACGGACATAATAACAATTTTAACAATACTGAAGGACCCAGTAATTTAACTAAACTATTTAAAAATAAGGAAGGTCTTTTTAAGACTCTCTGTGAAATGTAATTTTAAAAGAATGCAATTTTTGAGGAGGAATAAATTAGGACACCCCCCATATATTTCCCCCACACTGCTTATGAGTGTGGAAAAGGATTTAAAAAGATGCATATTTCAAAGGACTTTTACATCAGCCATTCCACCATTTTACCTCAATGAATTAATTTCAACAAAGGGGGGTATCACTAGTTATTAGGGGTCCTAATTTTTTCCTCCATTAAAATAGGCATTTCTATGCATATTTTTTGTTTGATGAGTAAAAAAATGTTAATTTATATTGTTTAATTACAATAAATCACTTTCTTTTCCAGGAATGAAAAAAAAAATGTAATTAGACGTTGTTATGTGAACATTTCTTAATAAAGAGTTGACTATTTAATGGGATGAGAAGCTCGACAAGGCGCTCCTCTTTATCCACGGTACATTTTCGCCTACTTGGCGCTCGTTGTGTTTCCACGTCCGTCAACATTTCTTTGTTGTGACTGATGGCTTCCTGTTTCCGGTTTTCTGAGAACGATTTTATTGGTTGTTGATTGTTTTACGTCAGTAGGACTACGCTAGGACTTGCGATAATATCAAACATGTTTGATATGAAAGACTAGAGAAAGACTGGCATAAATCGGGTCGCCGACTGCAGATTATCACCTCACATTTAACGATCGAGATGACGGGAGCGCGCCGAGATTCCAGTAAGATTCCTAAATACTGCCGGTCTTTAGTCTGGGACTGTGAAAATCCTTTGGTGTACGCCCGGCATTAGTCTTAGAAAACTAATCTTTTTGAAGACGTGGAAACATTTGATAATGCCATTTCCGCATTGTAGTGTGGACAGTGAAAACCGGTATTTCAAAATGATGACGCATTTTTAGTCATGTGACATACTGTATTGACAGACATCTATGTTTATACTGCTATGTGCTATTCACTTTCAGTGTTGCTAAAGATAAATGTTTCTTCGTACGATCTTCATATTACATTCCTGCAAAGATGACAGAAAATGTACTCGCAATTGCTGTCCTGCGGCAAAACATGAGGGCAGTTGTGTTTAGACAAAACAGAGTGGTGGTTGAGTGCGACATGGACGCATGTGAGAGATTTTGCTAATAAAATAGTTGTGCCAAAGCGTGAGAACTTTAATATGCTTGGTCTCTCGGTCAGTGCAAAGTTTATTGGTTGAAATAAACAGTTATGGACATGTAGAAATTAAAGTTGAAGCTCCAATCTCCTCCCGAAAATCCAAATAAAAGTCTGTTGGTGCCTTGGTGACTACTTCGTTTAGAGAAGCTGTCAATCATGACGTCACATTCCCTTTTTATAGCATCAAATAACAAACTAAGATCAAACTTATTTTAAAAAAACGAACATTTAAACTTAAATCAGCGTGATAAAAACTACCTAAAATGACAGAAAGCATCTTTGGAAAAAATGTATTTGAATTGTAATTTGATTGTTTATTTTCCATCGTGTCCATTAGGGGTTTATGACCTATACTGGGACCAACCATCGGGGGGCGATCGAGACGCTTTGGCTTCACTTTTCAGGACTTGTGCTGCACGCTTGGTGTGGACAAGTAGCGCTGGGAAAATGCTAGTGTGGACAGAGCGTTTTGAAAAGAAAAGTTTTCAAATGTATCCGGATTAATGTAGTCGTAGCCTCAGAGAATCTAGGAAATCTCAGAAAAGCGAATTTAACTGAATGTAATATCTTTCCACCTCCTCTTAACCCTCATGTTGTGTTCAGGTCATTTTTGACCGGGACCACAAGTGTTATAGGGTTTTGAACACAACACAAGGGTTAAAGAAGCAGTTTGGAATTCAATCTTATATATTTGCGTTTCTGTGAGGATCAGCTGCAGGTTTGAATGAAGAGCAATAGAAAGGATGGGAAATGACAGAAGAGTGCAGTCTGCAGTGCCAAGTAGCAGCCGTTTGTGACAGCATGACCTATTTTCAGCTCTCTCCTGCTCCTCGGGGTCTACGCAGGATCCTACAATCGCTTAACACCGTGTGCCGCAGAAAACACTGAATCTTTCAACAGGCTGAAAACATCCGTGCACGGCACAGACCAAACCAATTACAGCGATTACAAACCTAGACAGCCATAATATTAACACAACCCTTGAGGATTTCACTCAATTAGTGGGTTTACTGCATGCGACACTTGTCTTAATGGAAGATAAGCAGCGCAGAACTCTCAAATAGTTTGATTCAGGTACAACCATTTAAAAGGGTTTAGAAATGGCATTTTTTCCATGCACATGTCTATTTCATACCCATTTTCTTAGGCAGCAGGTAGACGTCCTGTTTGTAGCGGCCTTCAGGAGCATTGTACAGCTCTATCAGAGCCAGAGCCTGGGGAAAAAGGAGCAAGAAATCAGTCACCATGACAACAGCAAGGCTGTGACACACACACACACACATTTTAAGTGCCTGGGGTTCATACTCTCACACAGCACACATGAGAAACCCATTCTCTGATTGAAATATGAGTCAAATTCTCTTTTCAGGCACATTATGCATTTAATAAAGTCATTTGTGTAAATTTTCACTCTTTTTCTCTCTCCTCACCTGGGTAGTAGCCGTGATGGACAGCACAAAGGTAGGAACCGTGGAGCAGCTCAGGTTTAGGAGGCGACCCTGGAAATATACATATATATTTGGACCATTTAAGACTTTAAAATGCTAACAAACTTTGTTTTCAGAAACATTTTAATCTTTTCTTTTATCTTATTTATAATGCCTGTGTAACGCACTCTGAATTACCACTGATAAAATAAATAAACTTGCCTACACAGGCATACTTCCCAGATATTTACCAACACTAAATGCGTAGATGCATTTATATGTAGAGACATTTACTACAATGAAAGTAGTTGCGGTTTTAAGACATTATGAAGATGTACTTAAAGTGCTCCTATTATGTTAAAGGTTCCTAAAGTCTCCTATGTATACATCTCACAGTCTCATACAATACAATTACATGCATCCAAGTTCAAAAACAGCATCAGCTCTTTTCTCAGTGTCTGAAACGGTTTGGTAAAGTCTCTCTAAACCCCTCCTTTCCGAGATCCTACTCTGCTTTATAACACACTACATGAAAGGCAAAACCTGAAAAAGAATAATAGGGGGACTTTATATAAAAAAAAATCCAATCTCAAACCTCCGCCAGCAACACTATTCTCTTTCCATCTGGCCAGATCACATGGTCCACCTGCGATCTCACCCGCTCCCAGGTCAATTCAGGAGTCCGCAGACTGGCCTGAAAAGTTGAAGGAAATGTGTTAAAGAATAAGGTGCACAAAACAAAAACACTTACTCAGTAACCATGTGCACCATCAGACATTATCAAATAAACATGTGAAATCTCTGAGTTAGAGCAGTTTTCTCACCACGTCTATCTCGGTATTGGAGTGGCCCATGTTGCAGACGATACAGCCGTTCTTCATGCGGTCCATGTACTCTCTTACAACCACATTTTTATTGCCTATGGACATTACACACAATAAGAATGAGATGAGTGTAAATGAGAAACTTATTTAGTTGATGAAGGGAGCTTTGGGAATGATATTGATCTGAAATGACTCAAAGCGCCACATAATCCTGGGAGTCTCTCGTTCTTCACCTGTCTTTCCTCCATAGAACAACTAAATGGACCAAGAATCAAGTTGAACCAAGTCAAATGCAATTATTAAAAGTAATTTCATCCACAAGTGCAACACGCTGCCTACAGATTAAACTTTGATTCAGGTTTGACTCTTGAATTGTCCTGTTCATCCTACAGTACATCTTACTTGAGAGGCTTGAATCCGGTCTATAATGTAAAATTAAAAAAATCTATTTTGGAACATGAAAGGAGAATCTGTAAAGTATGTCCACTTTTACATGCAATTACAAAGAATGCAAGGATGCAATAAGTAGACCATACTTTTAATTTTTAGGTAGCTTTTCATAATTTGTTTCCTTAAATAATCAGTCAAACAGAATAATAATCACCATGTAAACATTTCAAGTTTACAACAATCAAAATCGGATCTAAAAATACCTGTGCAGGTGATGACGATGTCGACTTGTCGGATGACTTCGGTGAGTTTTACCAGCCTGAAGCCGTCCATGCTGTGTAATGACAAATATAAATTAGAGACTGTAGTCTTTCTAAAGAGTAAAACAATAAAGACTAACCATGAGACTGAATGCTGAATAAGAACTTTGCTGTCATTCAACAGAAAACTGACCGGTGTCGCAACAGTGATGTTACAATGTTTAGGAAAGTACTGTACTACGATAATATCAAACAGGTGAGCAATAATGCTAAACATACAGTGCTGGAGAGCCATTCACCGCTCAAATACTGGTTCACAAGCATTAACACATTAATGCTGTCACATTAAGTAATGTCATACTTAAGTGTAATTCAATGGCATCTAGTAAAGGACACCACTGCTGATTCAGTGAAAAGTGACTTCAGACTCACCAGGCCTGTAGAGCACAGATGGGGTCAATCTCAGTGACGTAGACGATGGAGCCCATTGCTTTGAGAGCAGCACAGCAGCCTTTTCCCACCTTACACACAAAGACCAACAAACTAATTATTCAGAACAAAAAGGTTCAAAGAAAATATTTATAAAGCACACATGGACTCAATGTGATTGACACAAACAGGACATGATCAACATCTTTTGTTGCACCTGGAAAAACATCTGAATTAAGCAATCAGGTTGACTTTCCTATTAGAACACATTTAGAGGTATTGTCCTCTAGTGGCCATATCTGGTATCTGTTTAATAATGCAGTAATGCAGCAGTGCAGTGGAGGCGTGGCCACCAAAAATGATTGACAGAAGGAACTGAATAAGCAGACAGAACTGCAGAATGGTTTTAAAATGGTTAGGGCTTAAATAATTGGGCAAATCGCGTTTTCAATACAAAATTTTAAAATAATTTGATCGATTTTGCAGGGCTGGACATGTCAGATACAAGTCATTGGAATAAACAGATTTAAATTATTTTACATATAATGCCAAGAAAATCCTGAACTTCTGAATGCATCTCTCCAGAGGTTCTCATAGGAAACGATTATTAGCTGGAAACAATTGCTGTCTATTTATCTCACCTCTCCATATCCACAAATCACCACCTGCTTCCCTCCGAACATCACATCTGTGGTCCTCTTTAGACTTGAACACAAAACACAAACATGCTCAGTAAAACCATACAGCACTATAAACCACATAATTCAGAACTGATTCCAACAGAACTGATACCCCGCCCCTTTATTTTGTGTATTATTTAAAAGAGGAATATTGTGACTTGTTTGTTCCTGGAAGAAAACTCAAGACTACAATGTAGAAGTTTCAGGGAGTTCAGCAACAGTGTGCACTGATATAGAGAAGAACTCCCTTTGGAGGGACTTTGTGCTTTGGAACTTTGCAGACCTTTTCAGGCTCAACATCACACACACTAAAGTTAAGTTAAAAATGCAAAAAAAAGCATAATAGGACCTCTTTACCCATATTGACTGGGAAAACTATTTTGAGTTAGACTTGGTAACTGTTCCTAACCCTAAGCCTTAACAAGAGACATACCCATCCAAGATAGACTCCCGGCAGCAGTACAGGTTGTCAAATTTCTGCTTGGTCACTGAATCATTAACATTCATCGCAGGAACACACAACTTGCCCGCTTTTGACAGCTGGTATAGCCTGGGAAAAACAAATTAATATGAGAACAGCTTAGCAAGAAAACACAAAGAAATTCTGAAGGATCCATGATGGTAATATATAATAATTATATAATCAATATATAACACTACCGGTCAAAAGTCTGGAATAAATTATGATTTGTAATATTTTCATATTTAATATTTTCAGTAATATTAAGAAATATTATTACAACGTAAAATAAGTTTTTTTTATTTTTTTTATCTTAAAATATTTAGGATCAAAGAATCATGAAAAAAGTATTACGTTTTCACCCAGATATAAAGCATTTACCACTGATAATAATACAAACTATTATTAATAATTGATCACTAATAATAATCACAGGAAAAAAATTACATTTTAAAATATTAAAATAGAAAACTATAGCAATACTACAGTTTCTTTATTAATCAAATACATGCAGCTTCAGTGTGCTTAAGAGTCTTTTGGAATAAAGATAGTTTTAAATGTTTTTGATATCTTGCCTTTCTAAAATACTATACTTCAATCAACATTACATCTGCCAGTTCCACTATTTGCCACTAGATGGAGACATCGCTATTTGATATGGGAAAAACAGTCGAGGTCCCCACATTGTTCATTATATATTACATTTTAAATCTGAAGTTTTGACCTAATCTACACCAAATGTCAAAAATGTAAGACTATTTTAATGTATTTAACAAATCAAAGTCTTTTCACAAATGTAATCACCTGTGAACTCCAGTCACGCTCTCCTCTACGATGCCTTTGATCTTTTTGAACATGTTGGGATATTTCTTATAAATCCAGTGGGTCAAATCCCCTCCATCATCTAAAATCTACAAGGCATAAGCTGTTGAGACACTGAACAGTCATAATGTTTCATAGTCCAGTTGTAGGTATATAGTCCAGTTACCACTTACCATGTTGGGCTGCCAACCCTCCACGTTAACACAGCGATCGATACACCACCAGAAGTCATCCTCTGATTCGCCCTTCCAGGCAAACACTGAGAAACCTGCCAGACACGACACACAGGAGTTGATCAGGACAGAAAAGTATATAACAGAATAGGTAGGAAATAAGAATTAGAAAGAAAAGATTTACCTCCCTCGGCCAGAGCGGCTGCTACCTCGTTTTGAGTGGAGTAGATGTTACAGGCGGCCCACCTGCACTGAGCACCCAGAGCAGAGAGGGTCTCCATCAGCACCTGCAAACACACACACACGACAACGCATTATTGAAATTACTAGAGCCTTAGGATTTCTGTGATGTGGAAAACGCGGACGGAATCCAGTCACAAATTCTTTTTTACAGTATAACGTGGAATGTCAGATAGTCAGTCACACAGAAATGCAAAAGTCTTCACTTTTTACGTCGCCATAATACAATTTTAGTTTAACTTAAAGTAGTCATGACATGGATTTTTTTATTTTTATTATTTTAATATGTTTCTTGAGGTTCACTTATAATGCTGATAAAGTTTTTTCCACAGAAAACAAACAAAACAAATACATTTGTGGAAAAACGATATTTGTAGTCCTCCTCATGACCCTTTGTATGAAAAGGCATGGCTCCTTTAAGGCTTGTCGGTAAACAGACACTGTTATGATTGGCTAATGTCATTGCATAGGAAACCATATCAATGCCCACTCACTATTGCATGCGAGTAAATGTTTTGAAAACATCCATATATCAGCACCATTTACAGACAAAGCATTATGAAATCATTTGTGCCTAGTTTACAAACCCAAAATGCTATAAAAAAATAAAATAAAATTCCGACGCAATCCGGGACGCCAATAAAATAAAACATCCACTTTTTTCCGACACTGGGATCCTTCTGAAGTCTGTACAGAGACGGTGGCAAATAAGGTGGCAAAATGATTTCTCATGTCATGAAAGAAATATATTACTAATATAATATAATATAATTTAATTATATTAAAACTAATATAATTACCACCATTTTTTGATAACAAATTTGTATTAAGTTAAATATCCAGAAAAGAAAAAAAGAAAAAAAAATTGGGGGAAATAAAACAATTTGAAAAAAAAAAAATATAAAACAGAATAGGAAAACTATGAAATACAAATGTCAGTTTGCTGTCCAAAAAATTACCATTATTTTTGAAAACATTATCACAAATACAGTAACACCTCTTTAAATGTAATCATATAGACAATAAAAAGGTTCCTAAATTGGGCAAATAATGTCCCAAAAGGTGGTAGAGTTAGGATTAGGGTGTTGGAATTATGGTGTAATTAAATTTAATTCGTTTAAATTAAGAACAAATTAAGTCAACATGAGGTCTTCAAGTATTTGGTGTATTATCGTGTGTGTGTGTGTACAGACACTCACAGCAGTCTGTGCAGTGATGTGGGTACAACCCACAATTTTTGCTCCAGCCAATGGCTTCTCTCCCTGAGCTCTCTTCCTCAAAGCCATGAGAGCAGGCATCTCTACAGTACAAAAATACCCACAAAAGTCATTAACACATGCCTATAATATTAAAATAAACATGCTAACATTCTTGATTATATAGAAAGAGTTTTAAACCTCGAAGACAGGCTGTGTGTGAGTGCACAATGGAGTATTTGGCCATGTGGTTACAGGGGCTGAAGGGGGCGCCCTGCTGTGAACATATGGCCTCTCACCATCACAGGAAGAACATCAAAACATGCTTCGCTTGATCTCACACAAACACACACTTTGACTTCACACATAAACAAATACCAACGGCTTAATATGTTGACAGGCCTGCGGACAACGGCATTGCACAAGCAGCCGTCATGCTCGTAAAAACAGTTATAGCTTGTCGGCACATGTAAATATTAATGCGCACAGGGCCCCTCTCACCTTGCTCTGCGATCTCGATCTCCCTGCGTCCGAAGTCGGCTTGTTTGATGTTCTTTATGCAGAAGTCTCCATTGCCCTTGGAGTTCTTCTGCTGCTTGTCGCGGGGAGATGTCTCGTCATCGGAGCTGTCCGTGTACGAGGCGGCTGAAGAAGGGAATATGTAAAGGAATGTAGATTTTACGTCCCCTCAATAAACTCTACTCTGCGTTATCAATGTAATCCTTCTAAAGAGCCCTGCCTGAGAAGCCACACAGGAATGCCTTTGTTCACATGACTCACTACATTCGACCCTGAACGTGTGGTAAAAAAACTCATTTTACGTACAGTAGCCCACCTGACTGAGGTTTACCAGGGCATGGCCATGTGAGTCTATAGTGCGTTTTGGTCCTTGTACAATGTCATACCTGAGCTGTAACTGTCTGTAGAAGACTGTGAGATGGAGCGAGACAAAGACCTGCGGCTGATCTTGGTGGGACGTTTGTTGAACTCCTGCTTCTGGTCTGCGAACTGGATCTGTCATAACAAAAAAGGGTGGAGGTCAGGATAAGAGAGAGAAACAAGTTCAGGGTGAGATATCTAAAAGCTACTGAATTGTAAAAAAAAAAAAAAAAAAAAAAAAAAAAAAAAAATTATATATATATATCCCCCCAAATGAAATGATTAAAAATAATAATATCTCTAAAAATAATTACATACATACGAAAATGTTATGTTGAATTTTCTTCATTATACATAATTGACTTTTTGAATTTTCTGTGAATTTTCAACATCATTACAGTCTTCAGCCTCACATGATCCTTCAGAAATCATTCTAATATGCTGATTTGCTGCTCAAGAAACATTTCTGATTATTATCAAATGTTGTCCAAAACAGTTGTGCTGCTTAATATTTTTGTCCTTACTGTCACTTTTGAACAATTTAATGCATGCTTGCAAAATAAAATATTAAAATGTACTTTAGTTAAAGTTGTTGTTTTTGTTGTTAGTGCATACATGCTGAGGTTGGATTTCACCCCCCGATTGATCTTTGAACTGTTTTCTGAGCTGTAATACTCTGGATAATGCTTAACAGTGTGCCTATTACCACAGGAAGTGTCAAATTATTATGTAAACAATGGCCAGTCTGAACACAATGCTACAATTCACATATTAAGCGGAATACAGGGAATTAGCCTTTCCTTGCAAAGTGAGAATTAAATCATTTAAATCAAGATCCAGTCCTAATCTTTAACACAATTTGACCTGCCAGGTAGGTACTTCCTTTTGCCCCCCAGTTAGGCAGTGATAATTTCATTAGCATAACCTCGACAACTTCACCAGCATCCTTCATCAGTGTAGTCTGCCACCACTAAGCTACTCTCAATGAAAGTCTGGAAAGGCAGCAGAAACCATTGAGAGCTCATCGTAGACGTGTAGATAAACTGCACTACTATTAATGGCCCGGCAGCTGTTGCCTGCAGAGAGGAGAGCGCTGCATGAACCGTGAGAGGATTACGGCGTGGTCCAGTCATCTCATGTTGACTTTATTATCTGACTCAACAGCAAGCCTCAAATCCCCCCGCTCCATCAAGAGATTTTTAAAAGCACGAATATTACATAACCCTGTGCCATATCGGTGTTCAATCAACCATGTACTGAGTGATCGCAGTGATTAATCTTCAGGCTTTAGGTTGAAGCTATAGGAAGTACTGTTTTCAGGATGGATGGATGGCTTTTAGACCATGATTAAAACACAGTTATGCAGACGAGTGTAAGGCTTTGACTCACAAACCTTGATTCACACAAACACATCGTTGTGCCCGAAAGCACTTTAACGCGATTGTCACTCGCAGGGGTCCTGCAACAATAGCCCTACAGAGAAACAAACACCCACAGACTCCGTGAAGTTCAATTTGGCACCCGTTTATCTCATCGCTTGGCACAAAGGGCCAAAGGACCAAACTGGAAGGACTCTCACAAATCACATACTCGTAGGAAAAACATGATGCTAATCTGATAAGAGAAAGCTAAGGATGCTCGGATTCAGTGAGAAATATGTGGCAAAACCACATTTCCAGGATACACGCATCCTAAACCACACCTCTGTTCCAAAGCTAGATGAGCATCAGATCTGACTTGGAACATTCTACAAAAGACAGCAATTCTGCAAAGAGACTCGACTCACAATTATTACAAATACAGTTTGATTTAGCTAAACTAACAGTGTGATATTCTAATAAGCAAAAAAAAAAAACATTGCACACACAAACATTGGGCAAAATAACACCATAAGCTCTGCTATTGAAGATACTGAGGCCATTTTCAGACATGTAGATTGTTTGCTCTGTTCCAAAACAAGGACTAAAATTGTTAGAATGTTGTATTTTCTTCTTGGTTCGGTCGCTTCAAAGCATACCTGAACGAAACAAATATAGCTTTCATTCCCACTCTAAATTATAAAATTCATGTAGCCTATATATTTTAGAATTAGAGTGGGAATGACTGCTTTGTCAGGGTAGCATTCTTGCAAATGCACTAGCTTCAAATACATTTTAAGATGAAAAGGTGCTCTACAGTAAGAGCTCACCCAGAGAATCACACACTGCTGCTTTTTACGCAACACATTTTCCATTATGAATTATGATACTGCTTTGTTCGTTGAGTCAGAATGTTTTCTCACCACAACTGAACCGCTCCGAGTTCCTTTTCAATTGGGCCAAGACCAGCTCGTTCAAGCGATCTCGGACCGATTATTTTGGTACAGATGGGAGCTTGATTGCAGTGTTCATATATGCCTAAACCAGGTCTCTAAACCTACACATGGAGGGCCATCTTCCACCAAAATGTAATTCTAGCCCCAACTAAACACACCCGAATCAGCTAATCAAGGTCTTCGGGATCATTAGAAACTTCCAGGCAGGTGTGTTGGAGCTAAATCAGCCGGGAAGTGGCCCTCCAGTAGCAGGATTGGACACCCCTGGCCTAAACAAACCCAACTAAGAGAGAAAATGCACCATGTTCTGCAACAAACGAGCCAGGTGTGAAAGCGGCTTGAACTTGCATTTGCACTGGAAATTCTAACAAGGTTCAACGATGCTGAGAAGAGATTGGTTTGGAGCCCCCGCCACTTTCAAAAGAAGGCAAACACTGCCCCCCTGCTAATCCATGCTGAGCACACAGATGGCTCGGGACTATTTTCATTCCAGAAGGTTAAGCTTACAGCTCCCAGGAAAGCATGAAGACCTCCCCTCTTACCTTTCTAACTGAGGGCTCAAAGATCTCACCATCCTTCTTTTTCTTCAGCATGACAGCGAGGGAAGCGAAGAGCAACAAGAAGAAACTGAGTGCTAAAAGGGAAGGGACTGGCACAGAGGAAGTGGACTTTTATACCAGCTTTACGCGTGGCCAGTCTAAACTGATTCCATGGCCTGTGCAGCACAATGCGAGACTGTTTCCCTTCGGGGGGTTTTGTGCATCTCTCTTTTAATTGTTATTTGTTTAGAGGCTGGAACGATTCTGGTCAGAGTTGGCAAAATGTGCATGTGTGTGTGTTTGTGGAGACTTTTAGGGGTGGTGGTTTAGGAGGTGATTAATGCGTCTAATGCTCAAGATAATGAAACATGCCAAGGACACATACACTCACACACCACCACCACTGGCCTTGACAAAGGGCTCTTTGTGTTTTCCTGGTCACAAAATATATGACCAGGAGGAAACTGTTCGGATGTATTAGAGGGACAATTACTCTGGCATGTTCTTGAGTTCTTTAACCTCAACTTTATGGCTAACATCAGCGTCATGGTCGAAAGTTTAACTCGTTGATTATCCACTCTCGGCCTCTAACAAGTAAAATATGCCAAGACTTTACACTTTAAAGCAGACAAATTGCTGATAGATGTTTTATGATGATCCATTCATGGAAACGGAGGCAAGAGAAGGCTTAGATGAGCTGAAGGTCGTTCTGTAATCTGGTGTGTTCGACCATACACTAAATACATTATTGCCCATCGCAGCAACGCCCAGACTGTCATTTTGCTTTTTTATAGAAATAAAAACCTTTTAGTTCAGTTGGACAACAAACGCTTAAATTATAAACTGAAACCATCTGCTCTGCATCTTTCAGTCACAAGAAAATGTCCTCACCATGACACTTGCCTCACTCTTCCTTTGTGAACTAAAGTATTAGAAGTGTGGTTTGAAAACATCTTCCCAGTATGACTTCATAACTTTCCCACAGACCTGGATCACACATTGCTTTATCTAGGGAGTTTAGAAAGTCAAATATTTGAGAACAATTATCAGTCTTTTGTGGGTTGGTGCACACTGGCAATGAAAAAAGTTGCACAACAGAATGGACTAAATACACTTAAAGCCTTAATCGAGCTTAAACAGTAGTGTTTGACACTACCAAGGTCATGGGTTCGATTCCCAGGGAAAGGAAGAGGTGATCAAATGTGTACCTTGAATGCAATTTAATAGTAGTACACAATGTAATTTATGGTGTTCAAATTAACAAAATACATCAGTCAATACATCATTAATCCTACTTCCAAAAACACATTTTTATCTTACCCTGATTTAATATGCTAAGCCTATTATAAGCGTTTATATTTTAGACCCAGTGGGATGGCTTTCGCAAGAAATTGCGCACATATGTCACTTGCACATGCATGTCTTGTCATTTATGTAAATAGAGAAAAGTTGCTCCGGCCAGTTTTACGCACGTATGGTGAGGGAGTGGCATAGGTTAGTTGTCACAATGAGCCAGAAACGTAGACATGGAGCCGCTAATTCTCAAACCTTTGGAGACTCACCCACTTTAAAAACAAAAACACTGTCTCATCGCGTACTGTTCCACAAAGCTGGCGAACGATCTCAGCTTCAGCGCGGATAAGGAGCTCCCTGGTCTCTGCTACATTCCAGTTTGCGGACATTTTTTCGTTCTTTCTTTGTTTACGACGAACACAAACTTTCTTCTAAGAGCAACATAGTCGCACGATAACAACGTCATTGCGATGGCACGTGCGTCATCACTACGACACACCCCTTACGGCATTGGTCCTGGCTTTTGTTCACACAGGGCACGTTCCGGGACTGATCCCGGCAATGTTACTAGGTCCCCATCCCAGCATCGATCCCGGCATCAATCCCGGGACGTGTTTGCGTTCACACAGAAGCAATTTCTTTTTATGGCAATTTCAACGCGCTGTGTGAAAGGGGCTATAGTGTATCTTTAAGTCGCTTTGGATGAAAGAGCATAACAAATGCATAAATGTAAATGTCCATACTGTACATTATTTTAAGTCCAGAAACATACTACAGGTAAGCAAATACAGATGCAAATGCATGGTCAATGTATTGAAAATGTGCGGTCCTGTTGTACAAACTTAAGTATTTGTGGCATTAAACCAAATGTTAAAAAATTCAAGCAGCTTGCTATAAACATGTCAATGTTAACTAACCTAAAAAGATTAGTAATGTAGTTGACCTGAAAGAAAAGGTATCCATAGAAGATGCTTTGGTTTATGTTTATG